CAGCTGTGCCCATTTGGGGGAAGCAGAAGCATCAGGGCAGTGTCCCAAAAGGTAACACCTGAGCTCCTGGCTGTCCCACTTTGGGCAAGCAGAATCTACCCTCAATCACTGTGGGATGCACTCCAGTGCTAGCAGCAGGGCGCTAGGACAGAACCACCTCAAGCATCTGCTCTCTCTCTCTGCCTGCAGCTCCTGGCTCCAGCCCCGCACTCCCTGTCCCACTGCCCTTCTGGAGCCCGGAATTCAGCCTGACCCCCTCTGAATCCCCTCCAGAGCCCATTTTCCACCTGGTGCCACCGGTGGCTGAGCTGGCACAGGGCTCACACCCCAACGGGGCTCCCCATGGCACACGGCCCCGCGATTCGGACTACGAAGTGGAAGCCCCGGGCCGGGGCCGCGTGCGTGCTGTGGACAACCAATACACACCACTGTGATGGGCACAGGGATGCACTTTTGGTGGAGAAGTCCCGGAGATCCCTCCGGGTGGCACAGAGGAAAAAGAATGTATTTCCTTCCTTCTGGTTAGGGATTGTTATTTTTTAATCTTGCGAGGAAGGGGGTCATTGTTCACTCCAGTATGGGTGTGCTCCCTCTCCTGGGCCTGTTAAAGGGCCATTTAAATTTTTTTTTTTTTTTTTGTATTATCAAAGCTTTCTCATTACTGTTTACACAACCACCATGGGGACACTGCATTGCCGTGTGCTCTCCTGCCCCATCCAGGAGGAGCCAAGGGTGTGTGGTGCATCTGCACCATTGGAGCAAATGAATGAAAAATGGATTCATAATTCTTGGCCAAGCGCTGCCCGCGAGCCGGGATGGGGCTGTGCCACGCTACTGCTCACCGAGGATTTATTTTATCTCTACAGACAAGGCAAAAACTGGCTTTTCTCCTCCTTTTTTTTCCCACAACTCGCCTGTTGCAGCCAATCCTGCAGCAGCGCTGCCCACACCGTGATGCTAACCGAGACGTGAACACTAACAGCTCCATCCCTAACAGTGCCACTGCTGAGAGCTACCGCAGAGACTGACAGCAAAGCATCCCCCACTAATGGGGGCATTTCCAGCACAAAACTCAATTTCCCCATGGTTTTGTACCTTGGCTGTGCAGCTGTGCACCCTGCTCAGCTCTTTTTTTTCTCCCCGCAAAAGAACACGTGAGGGGATGGCGGTGTTCCACACTATGCAATAATGGGCAGAGGGAGCACAAAGCCCCTCTGAGCCTGCACATCCAACGTGCCTTATGAGAGGAAGGTTTGGTGTTTCTGCAGCTGTAATAGCCATACAACAGCACTTTAACCTGCCTCCACATGTGTCCCCTCAAAGCACGGGGCCCCATTTACCTGCTGGTGCCTAGAGAGAGGATTGGCTGCTCTGTGAGGAGAAAGGAGGGAGCAGGGGCCGTTGCCACATTCAGGGCACGTTGGCAGCACTCAGCTCCCATTTATGGGATCACAGAATAATTTGAGTTGGAAGGGACCCCCAAACACCACCTGGTCCCACTCCCCTGCAATGCATAGGGATACTGACAGCTCAATCCCAAGGGTTCCTAATGCAACATTACTCTCAAACTCACATTACAGAGAATCTCTTTTCCCCCCTATTAAAATTAGAGCCTTCAAGAGCATTAATTTAGGATTTCATTTGAAAGCCAACAATACAGAACCTCAAAGCTTTTGCAAGGGTCTGAAAATGCACCGTGTGCACCATTGGCCCTGCACAGCCCACAGCACAGCTCTGCTGTGATCAGTGACTGCCATGCATAAGCAGACAGGAGAAAAGTGAAAACACATATGGAGTTTTGTGCCTCCCATCTCCTGCTCTGCTCCCATTCTCCACTTTATGCATCTGGAGCATGCAAAGCCTTTTTTTGCCCAACTTCTGTTTCCAACACCCCCAATACCTGCCCCATGGCAGCCAGACTCCAAACTGGAGCATTTCAGAGAAAACGACACTGCACATTGTCACCTCCTGGGCTGCCAAACACAGGGAGGCTGCAGGGGAACAAAGAAGCCCCTGTGCTCTCTTCCTTCCCAGAGCTGCACAAAAGCTGCAGGCAGCAGCATGGTCCCCCTGCACCAAAAAGCAGCAAATCAGGAACAATGTTGCCTGAATTTGGGGCTTTAGAGGCCAATGCTTCCTTGGTGCATGGTGGTCCTAGATTGTTGTGTTTGGAGAGAAGCTGCATAGCAAAGCTCTGCAAGCCCATGGAACACTTGCACATGCCACAAGTGCCCCAGGCAGCCAGATCTGAATGATTTTTTCCCCAAAGGATGAGAGGGTCTCACCCCAGCTCCCCTACAGAGGCAGCAAAGGGATGGGAAAAGGGATCGCAGCCACACACACAGTGTTTCTAACCTGCCCTTCTACTGCGAGGGATTTGGCGTAGTTCAAAGGGGAACCATTGGGTTTGGTTAGAAAAACATACATTGAGTTCATCAGACCATGCCCCCCTGCAAGGTTAACACAGTGCTGAAGGTACTCTATTACAAGGTAGGAAAGGCACTCCCAGGACACTGCTTTTGGCAATAAGGATGCAAAGGGAAGGGGCAGTGCCTTTGCTCTCCAGATAGGACTGCAGAGACCTGGATCTGACAATGCCTATGACACAAAGCAATAATTAACATTTTTAGTTATCTCGTCCCTCCCTGCCACGCTGCACTTCAGGCAGGTTCCCAACACTGCCACCACCACCTGGTGCTGAAGCACAACTATCCCACAGCAAAGCTTTGGGGAAGAGCTCCAGGTCCAGGTGGAGCCAAAGCAGAGGGAGTCCCTGTGAGCTGGAGCAGCACCAGCGCGCTGGGAAAGGGCCAGGGAGGGGCTTTCTACTCCTTCACCTCCGGACCACACAACACTGCTGTCACACGAGCAAGCATATAAAGCCTCCAAGTGTCTGAACACAGTATTCCAAACTTCAAGGTGAGCTTGCTGGCTCCTACCAGGGTGCAGCCTGCACCAGCAGCCACTGCGCGCCCTCACACCCAGCCTCTAGGGTGACTAAAGCCAACAGGCTCTGTTGGATGAGTTTAGTGATTTGGAAGTTCTACTTTTCACCTGCACAGAAGAGTTCTTCTTGTATAGTAGGTTTTCTATATATTGTTTCTGTATGTACTGTACAAGTAACTTATTCTTGAATAATGCAATTTTACCATAATATAAAAACTGCTCTTAATAAACTGTTTTTAGAACTCGCTTCTCATTTTTAGTATTTCACTTCATTCTCTATGGTGCTGCTATTTGAGCAGACCAAGAGCTGCTCAAAGTCACAAACCTCCCTCAGAAATGGAAGCTCCCTGCCAGCAGGAGCAAGTCTCCATCATGACTTTTGATGGTTGCATGCCCCCTGCTGCCCACCTGCGTTTACTTACATTAATTTCATGTATTTGTGAGATCTTCTGCACAGCAATCAGAGCAGCGCGAGGCTGAGGCGTTAGGGAATGGACCCGAACAGAGGAAATTCTTTTAAAACCTGCACTCACACTTCTGTTCTGAACCCTTCGACTTGTATCTGCAGTGGCCCTGCAAGTCACATACACCTGAAGGAGTTCCACAGGTCTGAAGCTGGAGAAGACATTAAAGAGAGATACTGGTAAAGCAAAACACAAACAATACGTAGGTCAGTTTTTAAAACTTTTTTTATTTTTTAATTTTTTTTTTAGTTTTTATTTTATATTATCTACAAAGTAAAAGTTTTCTTAACTTAAAAGTTACATCACTGTCTCACGATAGTGATCATCTCATCAAACGTGATTTATAAATAATAATTCATCAGTTTGACGATTAGAATTTTTTTTTTTTTTACTGAACCTGTTTCAAGTTTAGTTAGAAGTAAAAGGGATCTCCAAGTCTTGATTTTTAGTGATAATAGCAGCAAGAATCACTCTTGTTACTTCTTTTGCTAGCTGATGAGTTCATAACTTTGAAGGGTCATTAAAAAATAAATAACTTCCAGTTTTCAGCAAGCAGAGTTGGGGCACTTGCAGGACTCAGATACAGTGCATGGAATTATGGAATAGCCCACAAGTTCCTAAATGCCTCTACTCAGTCCGAATCTCTCCCACTGCAAGATGAACTGTTAGCATTCCTAGTGGATGTTACAAGAAATCAATTTTTTTTTTTTAAACAAAATAAAATGAAATTCTAGTTTTCTGTGCTTCCAGTTGGCAGAAGCAGTAGAAGGAGGGTATTTGGCCTACAAAAGGTATCCAGCCTTTCAGTTATTCCAGATGAGCCTTACAACTGCTGTTGGTGGTGGGCTTGTACTGTAAAAAAAAAGTTCAAATGTAAATAATAGATTGGCAAGCCACACAACAGTTTGCTAGTAAAGTGGTCACAGGACAACTACTGAGCTCAACCTTTTTTTTTTCTTTTTCTTTTCTTTTTAAAGAACAAAACAATACCCTGCATATCGAGATGTCCTTTGGATGTTTCTCTCCTCCCTAAACCCTCACAAAGCAGCTTGTTCTGCTCACACAATCCCCAAGACATAACATCAGAGGCTGTTTGGAAACAAATAACGATAAAGACATCTAAGTAACTTTAAAGCGGAAAGAAGTCATATAGCACCTACTTTTCCCCAAAAGCAAAGCTGCAGAACATTACTCTGAATTAATAGACTTCAGTTGTCACTTTACTTCGGTCAGCAGAAGTCTAACAGCACTACCCCCAAGCAACATTGTCACTCCTGTCCTTGGGACCGATCGCTTTAAATTTAACAACCCCCCGGATCATTATGAGCAGGCTACGCAGACAGTCCGTTCCCCACAGTGAAACCATGGCAATACCTGGAAGAACACAGCCCCACCGTGTCAGTGTCTGCACAGTTATCCAGTTCTGTACTTCAGCTACACAGAAACAAGGTCTTTGCTACATTAGCTACATCTGGCATGCTTAGCTAGGCTTGTATTTGGGCTGGCAACGTACAAACGCTAAATGCACAAACAGTTTGCCATCAGCAGCCCGCCATCTAAAAGGACATCTTCCATTTGTTTTCTGTTGGTTTATTTTATTTTTTTTTTTTTTGTTATTCTTTTCCCCAAATCTGGTTCGTAACAGTTCTCCTCGCTACTGTGACCTGGCTCAGTTACGGTGCAGGTCTCCCGGGCACACACTCCTCACCTGAAGGGTGCGTCATATAGGGGAAATGTGTTGTTGTCGAGACTGGAATGGACTGTAGTGCACTTTGAGCGATGGCGGCTTGGGGACCACCAGGTGGCTGTGTCGTCATTAGCATCATTGGAGCATGGGCAGTTGGGTGAGAAGGAACCATTCCTGACTGTACATGAGCCTGAAACAAAGAGCTCTTTAGTATAATGGTCACAAGGAGGCATCTCTCCTGGCCACATGACTAGAGAATTTTTTCCAGCTCTACCAGTAAATCCAGAGATTTACTCCATTTTAACTAGATTAGCTACAAAGGGATTAAAAAAGATAATAACAACTAAAGTAATAACTTTTAAAAAAGGCTCAAATCCTTACTGCTGGCTCCGAGTCACATTCTGAATTTTAGCAATAATTTGGACAGTGCACACTGGGAGAGACTGCTAGCATTAAACAGAGGGATACGTATCTTTTTTAAACCTCAGCAACAAATCTTCAAAACATTATCGTTAGTAACCAAGATCAAAGCACTTCCTATGTAGAGAACGCACTGGGTGCAGATAGGAACCTCACATGCACTGGAGCTCTGGCATCCCTTGCTCCCTTCTCATTACACAGCTCCACATTCTTTCATGGCTCCCTGCCCTAGGAATGCTCTCAAGTGACCTGTGCCCACGCTATCTTTCATCTGTGCAGTCATTCTAAGATGAGTGATTTCATCCCTTGATGCTGTTAGGTCAGCTTTGTTCTGTTTCCAGTTAAGCTCATCACAGTTAAGGTCCTCATGTAATCTAAGCAATCATAATTAAGTCTCAGCAGAAAAAAGGAGATTAATCTTCATTATGGCTGATCACCTTCTGGCAAACCAGTTCAGTAACTTGTCGGTTGACTTCTTTTGCTCAGAGTGGTTCATGACTCTAGAGATTGTCAGTTGTTTTGAAAAACGAGTAAACACTGGTTTCTTAAAAGCACAACACATTAAGGAATCCCTAGAGCTTTCGGTCACTTTGCCTCGGAAAACAAAAATTATTTGCATCTAAGGTTTGCTTTGTCCTTCTACCAGATCCCACTGTCAGGGTGCTACGGTGCAGCAATCGCAGCCTCACGACTTTCACAGGCCAGTAAAGACAGATAGCAGGTAGTAGCTACAATTTTATTTCTTAAAGACAAAAGGGTTATTTGACTCATCACAGACATTCCTCAAACTCTTTATCAGACTTGCACTGTATTAATAGCTCTCAAGAAGCCTTTAAAGGCAGGAACTGCAATTCAAATCTCACTCTTGCACTAAAAAGGGCTTAGAAGATAAGACTGTGAAACAAAAACACCTTTCAGGATGGGCACCATTTTCACTTTGACAAACATGCTATTACAGCAGCCGTAACTATAAAGCAGCTATTCATATAGCAGCTGGATTCAATGCAGACACACACCGGATAAAAAATTTTGCTGTGGCTCAAACGCTTTGCAAATTGGAAGCTGACAGTACACTGTAATGAATTTTCAAGTACTGCTTCTCAAGTGAGATATGTCTAACAGCTTGAGTAATCTGAGAACCTGAAGGGAAATTCAACTGATCCCCTGTGTTTGCCTAACTGAAACTCCTACTACATATTTCACAATGGTGTTCAGCAGTTGGAAATAGCACTGCTGAGAAACTATTAAATCCAGTGATTAGTTTCCCCACAATGGAATAATTACACACATTTAAAACTTCTTACAGAGCTGTAGTTATTCCTTCATTAGAGATTTTTTTTTTTTTTTTTGAGGGAACTACTTCATTTCAAAGTCAGTTAGTCTGGTATAAATATCTTGGATTACAGATCATAATTTTCACCCTAAAAAATTACAGCAGAAAAGACTGCGTACGTTGAAAATCAAGGGTAAAACAGGCTTTGCCTGCAATTGTTAAAAATCCTGACTAAGCAGTCAGTTCTGGCTAAAACTTGCATCTGATTTGCTTTAGCAAGGTTTGCTTATGAAGTGCTTGGCACACAAAAGGAAGACAATGGCCACATCCTGCAGCGCAGGCACAGGTCTGGCCATGATGTGTACAGCACAACTCCTGTACGGTCTCATCTTTAAGTTGCCTTTGAAACAAACGTGCTTCACATTTCAAGGCACGGCACTGAGCATGCCACTCACCCCCAAGCTTCCAAGAAGACCCTCCTAAAGAGCTGCAGGTGGTATCACGAGGCATCTCAAGAAGCTCTTAGACCTACACATTCACACCAGTGCCACCACACCAGAGCAGAGCAATAGCTCACATAAGCCAAGTATCTGTTTTTGGCAGAAATCAGCCTGGGAGGATGTGGTGCCTCAATAGCAGTAAAACTGCTATTATTAATAGCAGTAGTCACATCTGGGCATCCTCTTTATCCTCCCACAAAGAAAAAAGAAAAAAGCCTAGCAGAATTAAAAAGCTATAAACTCAACATCAGTAAAACAATTCTTAAAAAAAAAAAAAACCACCTATTAATTAATTTGCTTAACTGGGTGTTCCAGAAGATTTTACCAGAATTCAGTATGGGACCAGGGTCCGACTTGACTATCCTCCCTACCTGCAGTTAGGTCATGACATCTCAACTTTTGTTAACCTGTATGAGAAGGAATAAGCCAGGCATCAAGAACTTGATCTGAAGAAGGAGTTGTGCAGGCAAATTACTGATTAACTGTCTGCTCCTCAACAAAGCTTACTAAATCCATGAGATTTAGTAAACATCAGAAAAATCTTTGCAACGCTGCTTTACGCAGAGCTCTTGATTAATCAGTCATGTGCTTCCCTTCCCCAAATCCTTTTTTTCAGTGAGTTGACCACAAGAGACCAGTTAAGAGAAGTGGGTTTCTGATCCTGTAGCAAAGACTGTCATTAAGTTGCCCAACAACCATTGGGGATCTCCTGCACACGCAGTTTACTTAGAACCAGACACACACACGCACGCAGTTTTCTTTTAGCAAGGATTGTCTTGCAAATCATCTGAACTAAATCTCATCAATCTCCCATTGCAGAGCAGCCTTGCTACTGCCCAGTAACCATTTGTATTATCCTTTACTGAATGTGCTTGTACAAATTTGGCTACAACACAAAGCCTACAACTGCCACCAAAAGCAGCAATTCAGCTTTCTTCCACCCAGCTCTCGTCTCCAACCTTTCTCTATGCCAGCTCTTCCTGTGATCATGCAGTGAACCCGAGTAGTGAACTGATTTGACTGAGAAATAGCCTAAAATAGGGGGAGGGGAGGCACGCTTCAGTTGAATCAAGTCCCCAGTCTGGTTTGCTGCATGGCCAAACAGTTCTGTGAGCAGAACAGGGGGGTAGAGCAGGACAAGAATGGGAATTGGGAACTGGGAAGAGAGCTCAATTTCTTTCAGTAGCAGTGCCAGCTCAAGATGTCTTTATTAAACTACAGTTGTAGATGCACTGGATATTGGAAGCTGAGGTCCAAATATCTTGTAAAATTCTAGAAGGCAATGTACAAACAGAAACCTAAGTAACACAACAGGTAGTTTGTGCTGAGAGGTGACAGAATGGAAATCACTTCAGCAGGCCCGACTGTCCTATCTTTGTGGCATTAAGACATTTAGTCTTGAAGGTTGTTAAACTGTGTTTACCTGGGGGACATGGGCCATGTGTGGCGGATTGGTATATGCAGGTTGAACATGGGAGGGATGAATGGTGAAGACTGTTTGTTGTGCTGTAGGAAAACTATTTTGTGGAGACTGCGTATTGGAGCCTGGCGTCATGGAAGGTGGGGTTGGAGCTAGACCTGCGTGGTAAATTGCCGACTGCTGCTGTGGGTTTGCCAGGTGGAGTGCCTGAGCAGCCTGGTGCTGATGATGCTGGAAAATAAAAATAAAAAATAAAAAAAGGACAGTGAGAGTTAGGTAGGTTATGGTCTAGAGATGAGAGATGTTTACATTACTTTCCAGAATAAAAAAAGTTTGCAAAACTGCTCCCCATTGTCAATCTTTTAAGTCACAAATCTAAGGATCCCCATACCTGTGGTCACCAGAAAACTCACTGCAATTGCACCAGGCTCATCTTCCCCTCACCCTACAGTTCTGTATAGAGGAGCCTGGAAAATGGATGTGCTCACTAGAACCTACACTGCCAGGCAAAACAAAGAGACCCTGCAGCCTCAGGGTTGGATGTACTTCCTAACCGCAATGAGAGCAGCTCAAAGTCATCACCAGTAGGAAGCTAAAGCATGCAGCATTATCACAAGTACTGTTTTGCTTTTAGCTGCCTGCCTTGGAGAAAAATCCTCAGCATTAATCTGGTATTTCCAACGTTAAGCTGCAACAAAATTATGAGTCTTCTTTAATCGTAACATGGAAACGAGCTACACCTCATCCCTTGCGGAGATGGAGAAATGTATGGTCAGACTCATGTTGGCATTTACAGAGGAAAAGGGATTGCTACAAGTTTTCCTCCTTGCTTATCCTAGAAATTATGAGACTACCACATTTGGCTGCTACAAGTAGAGAAGAATGAGATGATATATCTTCACTTCTAGAAAACATGGAAAGCTGGACCTGCATGAGATTTATCATATGCAGGTGGTTTGGGCAACTTCCCCCACCATTCTTCCTCTCAAGGAATCAATAGATCAGTGTAAAATCACAAATCAATGCAATTCCTTCCAGTAGAGTGTTTGAAAACAATTTAAAGACATTCATTCCCTTAAGATGTTACCTGCACGGGGCTAGGAGCAGGGTGGCTTCCAGCATGTTGGCTTTGCTGCTGGCCAGTTGGCGTAGCCGAAGGCTGAGGATGCGGAGGGTGCGGATGCAGGGTAGCATTAGGGTGGGCATACTGCTGAGCAAGTGAGCCAGTGGAAACTAGGATGAAAAAGAAAAATATTTAACAACAGATATGGAATACGCATTCCATCAAGTCACCATCTGCACTTGAAGATTTTGTTATATCTCTATCATACTGTAAAAACACTCCCTCCCCCTTCTAAAATAAATATTTATCTTGCAAATAGCTGAGTATCTTACCTTGCGTTTGTGTAGATTTTGCAGAGCAGTCTATAAATAACCATAATTAGACAGTTCATCTTCCCTAGTTTGACAATGCAACAGATACTACATATGAGAAAAGCAGTATTTCATCTTTGTTTTGTCAAATAGACTGGTTTGAGATATCAAATTTATCTATACAATTTAGTTTTTCCTGAAATGTTCTTTAAAAAGCTGTTACAAGCCATTTTTATTTCCACCATCCAAAAAATTATTTGGCCTTATACCTGGCTAACCTCACCATGCTACTCTTCTGGAAATTGCTCACAGTACAGTCCGTGTAAAGCATACACACTGCACATATGCTTAAGAGCTACAGGGACACACAGTATAAACATCAGAGCAGAGGAATTTTTGCAAAAGTCAGCATCTTGCACTAGAATAATGTCTCTCTCCCTCCCCTCAAGGCCAATTACAGAGTTTTCTGGATCACCACCATTACGTGAGCTTTTCAACACTAGCATGAAATTCTTAATTCCTTGATACAGTAGCAAATAAGGTAAGAAACTCCAAAAAAGGGAAAAAAACATAGCAATATGAAACCCACACAAGTGGAATCACATCTGTTGCTACAGCCATACCAGTCTCCCAACAGCAAGCTAATATCAACAAGATCCTTTCCAAGGAGGCCTGCCCAGTTCTACTTCAAAAAGGGCCACACTAAGTTGCCCTCCCCTCCTCCCCTTTTTACTTTTTTTAATCTAAGGGAATCAAAGAAAGCATGGAAAACCATAATAACAGCAAGTCTTCCTACAAACAACAAGTGCACAACTGGAAAGTAAGACCTTAAAAAATGAAACTGCTGCCTGTCCCCTCTGCTGCTTTTAGATCTTGTGCCACAACCTCTCCACAGCTTACAGCTACACTTCTGCACGTGACAACGTGCACTCCTCTTTCCAGTTCTACAGCTTGTCAGGACTGTGGATAGCTTTGCTGACAACGGTGCTAGAAGAGAAACAACCAAAGCAAACAACAACCTTCTCCCGAATCCACTCCCTGCAACTGCTCCTCCTTTGTTCTGGTACCATTCTGTCTTTCTGACCAAAGCTAATCACACTGCTCACTGCTGGGTGACAGCTTCTTTCAGGGGTTTTGTATTGCGTGAGAATTTGAAGTGGTTTTGTTTATTTGTCAGGGCTTTTTTTTGCAAGGTAGAGAGTGTTGTGGTAGCACTTTCTTGCCTTAGTAAACATACCCGGAAAGCAGAGCACAAGGAGTAACTCCAAGTGCAGCTGTTGTGTTGCAACCATCTCCCCCTGATTCAGAAATACACAGGGTCTCATTTCTGCAGGCAACTGCTTGCTGCAGCTTTTAAGGAGTTTCACTGTGCTGGGCTCTATGCTCATGAACACACAGAACTGCTTGAATATATAGAAAGGACAAAAGACAAGATGGGAGGAGAAACAACACGAAAACATAGCTGCATCTGAAGGCACAACACTATAGAACAAAAGCCCATCTCAGACAGCAACCACGCTGTGCTTGACACACAATTACCCTGGGCAAACACTCCTTTTCCTGCAGTTTGGTTTGCTATAAAGCTGCAAACACTACTCCTAGAAAACTTAGACTTAACAGAATATAAGCATACAGCATCATCTTGTCTAATGGAAACATTTCTCCCCTGTGCAGGCCATTATGGAGGTCTCTCCTTTATAAAGTAACTGCTCACCACATTTAACTTAATCTCACCCTGCTGTCCTGAAAGCTCTACTAAACCTTCCCTGAGCAAGTGGGCTCACAATGATGTGCACCACAGTGTTTCAGGCTATTAATGCAGATGAACTCCCTGTGCACTTGTTACCCTGAATTCTTCCACTGAAGTGTACTCATGCACAACACACGTAGCAAAAACCACATTATCTTCTGCCATACAGAGCACTTAGTTACACTTCCAAAAGCATCAAAAGCAAGAGTTTCTCATATCACTACTAAAATTTATTTTGCAGCAGCATCCCTACCACTTTCAGATTTGGACAGCTTTCAAATACCACTCCCCCTACAAACACTACACAAAAATGAATAACAGAAACCAAGATTATTTTTACAGTAAGAAACTAACAATTTCCTACAGCAGGAAAATTTTCTCAACCTCGTTATTATACAACACTCTGAAGAAGGCCAGATGTTATTATCTCTGTCAAATTAATAAACTCACAGCGGGATCCACTTGTTGCCAAAGGGCAGGCTACCAAAGATCTGCCTTCCCCAGCTCTCATTCCACCACCTTGGCCGCAGAGCTGGCACGTCTTCCTTTAAGTTACCTTCTGCTCCATTCAAAAGCTTTTTGAATATACATGAAAATTCATGCCAAGTCATAAGATATTCAAGGCTTCCCACATCCTGCCACACTGCCTGTTAAGAGCCCCAAAATAACGTGGTACTCCCTGAAACCATGAGTGCAATTCATCCTTCATTTCTCTGTAGCCCGGAGAAAAATAAACAGAGTTATTCTAAAACAGATACATCACGCAATCAGAGTTCACAAGAAGAAATTTCACTCACAGAAAAATAATTAAACTGAAGAATTGTGCCCCAAAAATAAGGAAGGGTGGGGAAGTGTCATACCATCAGCTTCCATAACATTCCAAGAGTCTCTTATCCATAGCTTTGCAGAATAAAAATTCTGTTATTAGAATTGTAATTTCCCCAGCTTCTCTTCTCCTGTTTTGTCTTCCCTATATCATCTCTGTAAGTTCACTTAAATTGAGCAGAGATGCTGCTGCAAATTATGTTTTAATAGCAATATTAATATTAAAAGTGCATTTCAAAAGAGGATATTTGCACACTTATCTAAATCCTGGACACAAATCAGAAGTGGTTCAGGAATAGTGGCAGCAAGTCTGAAACAAATGCACTGATCTACGTTGCCTCAAACTAGAGGTCAAATTTTAGCTTTAGGAATGTAGAAGGGTTTTCACGTGTAGCTGCTGCAATTAACAGCTTATGACAAGCCACTGAAATCTCTGAAGCAACTTAGTGAGCCTCTGGAATAAGTCTTGCAAAACGGTCTCTAGAAATTCACCTACAAAGCCACAACTAAAGCAAGTTCAACAGCTTTTTAACAAATTTCTCCCTGTTCACCACAACAGCTCACTACAAACCAGGAAAGACAGGAGGGCGAAAAAAACAACAACAAAACCCAACAAATAACAGATTATCCAACATTTTCCCATGTCAGAACTTTGTAGATTTTTCAATCAGCCATCTAGTAACCAAGAAAGCATCAGGAAAGCCCCAGGCAAGGACAAAACAGCTCCACAGATCCCTTTGCTGTTTCACTTCCAGCACAAACACTGCTTCTCACCTCCATGCCCTATGTTCCTCTCCCCAAGAAATGCTCCTTGAGGAAACCTGCTGCATCTTGTTGATTGTTTCTCAGCAGGAAATGCATGTAACTGAACTAACCCGGAGATACACACAGTGAAGGTAAGTTGGGCAGTTGGGAGAGCAAATATCAGATGCATTTAATCACTGAATTCAGCTATACAGAAGTGCAATCCACGTCAAAGTCAGCTACCAAACCCAGCAAAGGAGCTGAAATCAAGAGGTAGAGTAGCAGCAACCAAGCAGAACTCCCAGATGTAGAAACCATATTGCAAAATTTCTTATTCCCCTGGTAGGAATCTCAGTGCTGCCAATGGTGGCCATCATCCAAAGATGCCCGAAGCCTATTTTCAAGAACTGACCAGTGAACAAACTTCAAAACTATTGCCAGATCCAGTAAGATGGTGAGGATAACTACATTTAAAAGACCTGAATGGTAGGAAGCAAAGCAATAGCAACGTTTCGTTCAGAACATCAACATTTACAGAAGTCATTTCACATAGGCATAGTGGACTTCCTTAAAAGATTATCCACTAAAGGAACGAGCTTCTTAAAATTATTTCCATGCACCAAATCAATATGTATAAAAGAGTACAGGTCAGCATCCCACAACACTAGCTTAGGTAAAACCAGTTCTGTACAAGGGACATTCAGGATAGCTGCTCTAGAAGAGATTTTTGGAGAAAAGTGGTATTTCTCACCATCTTTCATGTATCAGGTTATCTAAAAAAAGTAAAAAAAAAAAAAAAAAAAAAATAGAAAGAAGAGTGCTAGCATGACCTGCAGCTGGCCACACTGCAGTACAGGAGCAAGTCTGACAGTACCTTGAAGCTGCAGTTCTCTTCCCCATGTCCCAGCTGATAGCTCCAGCCCACCCCATCCAGCCTGACTACCCCAAACATCTTCTTTGGGGCTCTGTGATGAACACCAAAACACTGCTTGTTAGATGTCAGGGGCTCTCTTACTCAATGCTTGACTGTAACAACACCTGCAAGGACAGCACAGAGATGCAAACAGTGTTCCTCATCCTGGCTGCAGCTTGAGCAAATTCCTCCCAGGGGCTCTGAGCTCGAGCTCCAGCCTTCTAAAGAGATGAGGCACTCCTCCTTTTAAGGAAGTTCATTAACTTCCAAAGTCTTACATCCCAGTTGGGCCATGGAAGAAAGGGAACAAGAAAGTTCACCTAAGGAAATGAGTGCCACGTGTGGACAGCTTTTCTGGCTGCAGATGAAGAGAGTGGGTACTGAAGTTAAAACATGTTTATCAAACAAAACAACTCAATAAAACCCACGTTCCTGTGGCATTTTAAATCTGTTTAACAGCTCTTCTGCTGAAAGGAACTTCCCTGCCTTTTCTACATACTGGTTTGGTGCAAGGAAACCTGTTCCCCTCAACACGTCCCATTCGTTTAACATCTCTTCTTTAGATAGTGCTTTTCTGTACAATCAAAATTAGTACAAAAAACCCAACTCACTGGCAAAGTAGAAAGAAGGGCCTGTCTCCTTGCTGTATGGTATTTTGGGACATGCTGAATTTGGGAAATAGAAAGGTAAATTAGCCTCTTGCCACGTGCATGCTGCCCGTCTTCTGGAAAGGTCAGTGTCTTTTTTTTTTTTTTTTTAAAGACCGTAGAATCATGCAGATATTTGTATTTACTTAGTTGATATTAGGGATGGATATTTAGTTTTACAACTGAGTGGAGATGAAACAACACGAGTCTCAGATAAGCCTTCCTTCTACACTGTGATACTGAGGTCTTCAGTTGTTAATTTAGTATTAACACAAATAAACTTTACATCAATTCATTATCTATTACAATCCACTGTAACAAGAAGGTTAAAACGTAATTACATTAAATCATAAATCGCCCCCCTTGTTTGTTCAACTGTTTCACTGTCATTCTTAACAATTCCAAGACACCTTTGGTGACTGGTTCACTTAGTCCCTGGAGAATCCTTTGAAGCTTACATTATATCCACCATTGTACTATCAGGGTAATAGAATTTACTCTACTGCTGAGACAGAAACCAGATAAAGTTAGAGACAATACCAGACCAGCAAAACATATGCAGAAGGGGAAAGAGGAAGGGAGAATGGGGACAGGAATGACAGCACAAAAAACAGGAAATGCATCTGTATAAAACCAAGGTCTGGTTTTACACAAGTTTCTGTTTTGTTTCTAAATGAAAAAGTTAAGTTTTTCAGAGAATTCCAGTTATCTACAAGCATACACAGTTCAGCTACATGGTAACACAGCAATTAATTGGCACAGAAATACATCCACCCTCAGCTTAGATAACCAGATTTTCTGCCAACACCACGGGACAAGCTGTGTCTTTGGGCGACATAGGAGCAAGCTGTGAGCCATCAAACTTGACCAGAGCAGCAATATGGACCATACAGAGCCAACACTTCGTGGAAGGTGGTGTGTCCTGAAAACTACGTGCAGGGTGAGGATGGGTCAGTGTGATGGGGTGTGCGTGGGGCAGCTATCAGTGTGTGTGTGCTGCTCTGCTCCTGCAGAACTTGCATGTCAACTTCCCGTGCTAAGGGAAGCTCGTGTCTCCAGAACTTACGAGCTGAAATGTGTAAGAGCCATCTGTACAGTCTGACTGGCTGACAAGATGAAAGAGGGCTGTGTGAGCCTTCCCCATTGTGTTCTGAGGGGGAAAGCCCAAGGATTTACACATTCCTTTTGTGTGCTCAGATGGGCCTGTGGTGAGCACACAGCTGAGCTGCTTGGCTTCTCTGCTTCTCTTGTCAGCAGCATTTTGGGAACACAAGCAGGGCACTGGCAAAGAAATCCCAGAAGTGCAGAAATATCCCATTAGACAAAAATATTTTGCTTCAAAATGAAAAAGTGCAGATCAACAAGTGTAAGTCACTATGTGTATTTGGAATTGAGAACTCACTTCCTGAGACAGGAACGAAAACAAAAACCAAACTCGCAGCAGTGAGGACCAACAAGCATTCCTCCTCACTGCCAGGCAGCTGCTGCTTGCCACAGGCATTCACTTGTCCCAAACCATTGAAGAAGATGGAGTTTCAGAGCTCACCAGAAAACATTTCACACCTTAAGAACTCATAAGCAGTGCCCCAACCCCCACGGCTCAGCGCAGCTGTCCTTGTAGACATCTTCTTTCTACCACATACACAGGAAAAAAATGGAGTGAATTTTGCAAGAATTATCTCAAAGGAAGCACCAGAACCTTGAAGGATAAAAGGACACTGTAACCCACTGAATCCTGACATGAATGGGGGGTGGGGAGGGAAGTCAGAGAATAAAAATAAAAATAGATCAGACTGCTATTTTAAAGAGCCAAAGGGAAATGTGAGAACTTGCTTGAGCAAACGCTCCAAAATCAAAAGCAGCAATGGCTGTTTCTCAGGAAGTTGTTATTCTGGATTTTCAAACTGCTTCCAAAAAGAGGACCAAATTTGATTCAGAATCAGTGTGTGGTGGTATATTTCGCTCAAAGATTCCATGGGTAAGCTTAAGATCCCCAAAATACAGAACATACGTTATAAATATCTTTGTATATTACCATTCAAAACTACCTATCACTCAATCTGAAGGGAACGATTCCAGCAAGTTGCTTGTCAGCACTTCACTCCATAAGCAGTATTCATCTGCTACCTTAGGCAATTCTGCATTTCTTCCAAGCAGTCACATATTGATAAATGGAAGCCAATTATCTTATAGATGGACATGTTTTCAGGAAATATCATCAGCCTAGGCAAGGTCTTCGAGTAACACATGAAAGCCTTGCAAAAACCTGGGAATCGAGAGTGATGCACTACACCTGAAGTCAGTCCATGGGTAACTAACTGTAAACTTTGAATCAATCCATGTTCACAAGGCAATAAACACATTTACGTATGGCAAGACCAAATAGTCTTTTTTAAAAAAAGTGTCTCATGTGGTGTTCACGATCCAACCAGGCCGAATGTTTTCTACAAACAAGAATTGTAAGTGCTTGATCATTTACTGGGAAGGTGGGAGAATGTTTGGAACAGTCACCATTCGGCACTTGGAAGAATAAAAGACATGCAACTTCTGTAAATTAGGTGGAAAAGTATTGTTTGAATTACGTGGAAGGAAATATTAAAGAATTCTCAATTTTGACTCAGCCTAGTTGTGCATACTGGTAGCTGGTCACATACCTACAACAGGTAAGCCACAAAACCAACACAAAATGAGAACTAACTGTTGTAAGTTAGAATCTCAGTGAAAAAAACTATGCAGACTTCTGATCAGAGGCAAGTGGAAAAGGCTTGTACTTCAATGCTGTAGAACCCAGTGCTTATGGAAGAGAAGGATGGTGCACAGTGGGAAATTGCTAGGAGGTAACAAGCAACCATTCTGAACGAAGCTTCTGAGATTCTCTCATGTCTAGCTTTATTTTAATCAGGGTTTGAGGGGAGAGTTTTCACCAATAAAGGTCTGAAAGCCTTTGATCGGTCACTGTATCAGAATTCTATTTAATCTAATGAGAAAGCAAACAGAAGATCTGTTTACATGGACACCTCAAGCACAAGATTTGAAAAGATCAAAGTAATACATTTAGTAAGGACCTATGAGAGAAAGACTTAAGCTCTTCACGTAGCTTCCCAGTTCAACTTTATTACAAATGAGCTGAGGTGTTCTTTCAAATAGCAAAAAAGGTTTCTCGCTATTATTTTTGTTCCTTTACTATGTTACCATATTACTGCAGAGATCTGACAGGATGTTTTCAGATGGGTAAGACACAGACTTGTTTAAATCAAAATTAATTTCACACTAAATTTCAGATTTTTAGCCTTGTTAAGTTTTCATGACACATCATGGAATTCCATTAAGTATTAGAGTAAAACTAAGCACCGGAAAACATACAAAGATGTCTAAAGGTACAGAAAATCTTTTATTAGAATCTAAGTCAATAATATACGTGACCCAATAAAAGTCTTCCTCAGATGCTGTAACAAGTATTGAAATGCCATGTTTTCAAGAGACCATCTGTCGTTTTGACAATTTATGACAATTTTCAAGCCTTCTAGCAACCTTGATTCTACCTCTTTCCATAGCATGTTTTGCAGTGAGGCTTTCCCTCCAAAAGGGGCATTGATTTTCATACATTTGTAATGCTTTAGAAGTTCTCACATTATAGTTTGTAACAAGGAAACCCACATTTTCGCCATTTCACTCTAAGTGAAATATGCTCATCTGATGATGCTGAAGACCAAAGTCAAAGCAATACATGAGTTGTTTCAAATACTTAAATCTTGACTTACCAAAAAAGAAAGGTAAGCAACACAAGTTTTATTTTGCTTAGACAGTAGTGTTCGTACTGTTAATAATGCTAGTAGTATCATAAAGACAGCATTTCACTAGTTGTCAGAACTAAAGTCAAGTTTTGAAACTGAGGTCATAGCCTTGCAATAAAACCAGTCCTACTTATAAACAAGAAACAATCAAGGGATGTTGTGTCAAGGGCATCAAGAGAACTTGAACAAACTTCTTTCAGCAGATATTCTTTAGCAGCTCCCAGCTTGAAATTTCATCTTGGTCACTGGCATCCTACTGAAATCAGCACACTCGAGTTTTCATTTTAACCAGGTGGCTCAGTTTTCAATGCTTTGCTCATCATCTTATGATATATAAACCACATTTACTGGTGTAATTTTGAGTGACACCCATATATGAAACTCGAGATTTAAATATATCCCTGCACAACATAAGAGCTTAAAAAGTTACATATAACACAAAACGTTTCCTACCATACATAGCATGCGTCTGTTCATGCGCACCATACTGTGTTGCAGAAGAAGATACTAAACCAGGCTGTGCATGAGTTGGTGGTGCCATCATTCTAGCGTTGCCCTGTATTACAGGGCTATAAACATGAGGATGCTGCATTCAACAGAAATAAGAAAAAACAGGCAGTTAAGATAATTGCAAGAAACTAGTCTGATCTAAACAATAATTACGTATTTAGAAAGAGCAATAGCTTGGCCTTACTGAAAACACAGGGCAAACCAAGAATTTTGTACTATCACACTTATCCCAGTTGTTCTAAGAACATAAGGATGTTTTCCACAGTGGATTAGAAACTGACAAAAACCACTGGCATGCCTAATTTCTGCCACTCTAATTACGTAAGCTTATGTACATAATCACATATTCATCCAATTAAGTCTGTTTATTTAAAAGCCTTTGAATTAAGAGAACAATTTTATTTTCAGAGCCTAACTAGATGTCCTGTCTCAGACCTGAAAGGAATTGCTCAAAAAAGGTGATATCAATAACAAATGACAACTTCTAAATTGACCATAAAACTGCTGAAGGCTTTGAAGCACTTTACAATACCAAATATGCTCCAGAACAGAGAAACCCTCCAGACTGACTTCTTAAGACCAGACACAATATGGTATTTGGGACTGAATCACTTGTCTATTTGTCGTGCCATATCACATACAGCAAAAGGACTCTTACCTGAGACTGGTAGTGTGGCACATGCTGCACAAGAGGCTGATTAGGAAACTGCTGGGGACTATACGCAACATACTGTGTTGAATAAGCAGGTGGTGTAGCTACAATTGGAGGGCCTGCTGCAGAGGCAGGGTGCATCATGGTGCTCTGATGATGTTGGTCTTGCCGCTGCTGTGGCATATTTGGTACTGCAAAGCAAAAAGCACCACACATTAGAAATACAGGATGAAAAATGTTAGTTTTACTAAAAGCTTTTACATTACAGTGCCACTGTTACCAAACGGAAGCTCCTCAGCTCTCATTTTTAACCTCCTTATTACACTACTATCAGAAAGCAACAACACAAAAAGGAACATTTGTCATCACTGTCTTTTAAACATATACACAGCCACAAACTCAGACTTGTTTATTTTGTGAAGAAAGGAAGGTGAAGAGAGAAAGAGACTGACAAGAATCAACAACAAGAGAGAAGGGTTATGTTAGGACACCTACATTAATTCAGTTTGATCCTATCCCCATCAAAAGGCTTCATTTATCCTTTATGGGAACTACTCAGCAACTGCTCCATCAACTGGAAAGCTGAGTGTTAACACTGCTTGTGCTCATGGCTGAGGAGAGCAGAATAAAGGTCTCCACACGGCTGCAATTTTAGGTATTTGCATCTCTTAATCTCTGTGCTATCCTTCAGGATAGCATGAAGTAACTTTCAGGTCATGGTCTACACTGAAGGGGACAAAACAATCCATAGGAAGAAAAGGAATAGAAATAATTGGAGGGTAGAAAAGATTAAGAGAGCAGAGTGCCATTGTGTGGGACTAAGCAACAGGGCACAATAGCTCCAGATGAGCTCCAGTTTGCTGTAGTGAGGGTGTAATTAATAACTAAGCTAACTCAAGCACCTGTAAACTCCACTGCAGAGTGCAATGTTGTCAGACCTCTTAGGGAGAGGGAGAGGGAAATGTTGAAGATATGTCAGTAAATTCACTCAATAATGATTATGTTTACACCGCAAATCAGCAAATGAAAAAAGTAAATACACAATACAACTTGTAGAGGGTAAAGGCACTGAACTCATGCAGCTTCTTCAGGGCTATGTTGCACACAGAATGGATACAGAGGAAATACTGACACTTTGGAAAGGCATTCAGAACAGAGACTGGCCTTGCAGGACAGGAGTACCCATCAGTATACTTCTAATTAAAACAATCAGCATTAGCAACCGAAAGATTTCATTAGTCAGATGACTGTGAAGCTGGTGTTTTTAAAGCAGAAATACATCGCAGGTTTTTGCTTCCCTGCTTTCAAAAAGGCCACTTGTTTACTTCTAAACTACTCTTTCAAATAATTTCCTACAGCAGCAGTTGATCTGCAGCACTGGAACCTATCATCATAACCACTGTACAATGCTGCAAGAAAGCATGCACTATGTCAAATTAGAGCAATATCTGAAACAGGGCTATAAAAACAAGACCATTGTGGGTTTTTGCTCCCTCTCTGCACTGAAGGGATGAGTGCATCTCACCACACACGGCCACAGGTGTCACTTGCTAAAATAATGGCATTGTTAGTCCAGCTGTTGCAGAGGGAATGCAAAAGGACAAACTGGAACCAGGAAAAAGTTATTTGCAGATGAATAACTACACTCTTTTTTCAGAAAGAAATTTTTCTTATTGACAAAAACTCTGTTAAGGCACCACTCAGGGCTCTGCTGCAAATCAGTACAAACAATACACCAAGTTCCCTTTTAAACAAATCTGTAATATTTATGAAGGAGGAAAAACAGCTTACACAAATTTTCCAAGTAACAGAGACCTTTTCCAGTTTGTTAAATCAAATTCCTAAAGCAGAAATGCCATGCTACTCAAACTTACAATGGATACAATGGATTTGGCCAAATTACATTACCTAGAAATGCCTATTTCCATTTAACTCACCTTCATTAAGAATAGCATTTAAAATCTCAATTTGAAAACAAAAGCACATGGGTTAGAAAATACACAAACATTTGCTATTTTGTTCATGCTGCATGCAAACTAAGAACCAAACAGGCAGTATTATTCTCACCTTTACCTGCTCTATATGTCTTGGCTTGGTTCACTGGCATGGGCGTCATGGGTATAGGATACAAAGGCTGAAACAGAAGGAGGAGTTTAAGCTAAAGATTCCTTTTAAAAATGTGTATGTGTCTGTGTTGGAGTGAGCAGCTTTCAGACCTTTTACTCTGAGTCAAAAAATAAAAAAGAAATACAATGACCTCTAATAACATTAGAAACCATTTTTTCTCCTTAAAACTTTACTGACACAAGTAAACACAACAGTCATCATAGCATATCTGAACTCTCTGTAATAAGTTTCCACGATGAAATTGGTTTCAAGACCCGCAATATCCTGGTTTTCAAACTCTTCTCAGAGACTATTTATACAATGTAATGCCTTCGGTTAAACATAAGACCGAAGCCTCACAGAAGTTTCTTGCAAACTCCTTTATTCCAAACAAGAAGAGCTCTTGTGACCTTGTTGAAGCTGACAACTAAATCACTCATTAACACATTCTGAGCATACTGAGTGTTTTATGAGAGCAAAGTTAGAACAAGAACTACCAAAACCTTTAACCACATAGTTAGAACTGTTAGCCACATTTTTTTTTAATAAGCAGCAACCATTTTGAGCAAGAGGAGGAAAGAAAAAAAATACTCCAGATTTCAAATACAGTTTAGTGAACTCTGCCTAACCTACGTTTTCTTTCACCACTGTGACTAAGTCTGCACATACAACCAACCAAGACCATATGGTTTGCAATAACCTGTCAAGTAATGCTAGTATTGTTACTGCAAGCAATGTATTAAATCAAACAACTTTACAGCAGTTAGGTCTGAAAGCCCAGTGATCTCTGCAACAACCAGAAATTAGTGGGACACAGCTGGAAGCTAAGGACAAAAAAAAAAAACAGTTGCATAAAACTTAAGTTAGCAGTACTGTGCTGGGAACAAAGGGGAGGAGGTCTGTGCAGATTAACAGTAAATGCAAGTAACAGCTGTTGGAATTTACAAGTGTTTGAGACTATTATAGCTCTCAGGTTGAAAGGCCACTGGGGGAAAGTCAGTATTTACATAGCTAAAACTGAACAACAATGTGATTGTTCCCATATTTATGGGAGTAATACTTAGATGTCCTAAGTCTCCCCTCTTGGCTGACAAGCATCTGAAAAGTGTCAACAAATTTACATTACTGAACTTTACCTGCACGCCTGGACTCACTGGAACCGGGTACATCATATTTGGTGCAAAACAAACAGGCTGAGTGTACACTGGAGTTGGCTGCTGATGGCCCACCATGGAAGGGCTTGGTTGAGCTTGTGGGCGAGGGGAAGTTGGTGTAGTAGAAGGCTTCGGCTACAGACAGAATTCAGCAATGCATATGTGAGATCAGCTTGACTGTACTTCGAGAAAAAGGTTTGCCTCTAAGCAAATGTTAAACAGTATCAATTAACTTACCTGAGCAAAAGATCGAGGGTTGAATTCTTTTGCATTAGGATTCAGTGTTGATTTTCTAACTTGCCTAAACATAAAGAACAGCAAAAAATATCGCTGAGCATTATTCCATTACAGCACATATGTTGAACTCCCTAACAATTAAAAATCTACAGAGATTAAATATTTCATTTCCATCTGTGAGTCAGATTTCTGAGAACTCAAACAACACAGCATACAAAAAGGCAATCTCACTGACACTACTCATACTGCACTTCTCCACAAAGAAGGTTTCCTGCTGTTGATACTTCAGTTCACATGAGGCAGGAAAACACTTAACTCATCATCTAGACATAGAACAGGCATCAAGAGGACTAGACCTACACTTGCAGCTCTACCACTGACTCATAAGATGGTTTTCACTCAGTACAGGCATCTCATCTGCTGTTTCCTTTGCTCAATTAAGAGACAAATTACATCAGTCATATAAACATTAGGATATTACATGTTCATAATAGCTTTTGTACTAACAATTAAATGCTAATAACAGATTTGCTTATTCTAAAAGACATAGTTACTCACTCAGAAGTATCCTTCTTCTCCTCTTTATCCTCTTTATCTTGTTTGCTTCCAGGACCAGATGTCTGTACACCTTGTGAAGTTACCTCTGGCCCTCGCTTTTGCTCAGAACTATTACTTATTGATGGAGAAATACTTGGACTATTGGGTTTGCTACTGCCACCGTTAGAATTAGTATTACTGCCAGTTTCTATGATAGGTTCTTTAGGGGCTGGTTCTGTCTTTTCTTTAACTACATCTCTCGATTTTTCACCTTCTCGGGTTTTGTTTAGCAGTTGATCCACTGCATCTGAAGAGGAACTTGACTGTAACTGGAAAAGAACCCAAGGTATATGTCCATTAAATTAATACACAAAACTAGGAACAACAACCTAACACCATCACAGAGTACAGTACAGTACAGTTCCACAGACCTTAACCATTTGGAAATGACCTTTTCAAACACGTATTTCTGATAGAAAAAAAAAAGAACACTGACAACATTTTCAGCCTACACTCTGCAAGAAGCTATTCAGAGGTTTGTCTGACCTACATGTTGATTAGGAAGTGACAGGAAAGCTTAAGACCACGCCTTAGATTCAGCCCCCTCCATGTCATTTAACAGTAACTCTTGAAAAGCTGACCTGATTTTGTAAATCATTACAACCAGGAAACACGCAGTGGAACCATAGATATTTGTCTCCAATTTTCCTCAGCTAAACACTCCATTAAACTCTAAAGCAGCTTTTCCACACACAGCATAAACATGTTAATTCTTTGTACCTAGCTATCACACAGGTTTTGAGCAGCATTTTCAATGTACAGTATTTAAGCTGATATGCAAACTTGTGCATTAGGCAATCAGACAAGCAAGATTTAGCAATGAATTTTATAACATTCAGTGTGGGCTCTTATGGACATTTTCACAAATTGAGCACAAGTTTTAAGGAAATGTTTCCCCATTAACATATGCAATGTATCCAGTTCATTAAAGTAATCTGGATGCATGAGAACTACGATACCATTAAAGACAGCACACAGGGAAACTTACCCTAAAGTCATTCTTAAATTTCTTTAAATCATCAATCTGTTTTCTATGTTCTGAAACAATTGGAGATACACCTGCCAAAGACAAGACCAGAATTGTCCAAGCATCACTAATTCAGGTTTTTATCTATAACCATCTCACTCCTAAATTTGCAAAAAGATAATGCTTGCATATCTACAAATTAAATACAGCTACATCACTTTATCTGCAATTTGGTATCATCCCATGAACTGCATGTATGAGGACACAGAAATAGTCTGTAAAAGCATGGCATTATGTAACTGACACATCTATAGTTCTAACACATCACACACTAAGACAGAAGCCCTGAGGTGTAAGGACTGCAGAACCCAGACGAACACAAAGAAGCATGCAATAGAATCTTCAAAGCATAACATGCCAGCATTTCAAAAATATCAGTTAAAGCTGAAATGCTGACCAAGTTCCACAATGTAAAAAGATTTTTATGAGAAACGCAATAACAAGCAATGCTGCAGAGAAAAAGGCAACGTTAAGGCATAATGGGAAGAAGTGTAGTTATAAAAAACTGCGTGGATCACAATGACCAGAAGTATTGTGTGCACACCTCTAAGTAAAAACTCCATCCAGACCAGGAGGAAAAAGAAAAAAGGGGAAAAAAACACCAAAAACCACACTATCCACATGAATATCTTTATACTGGAAGTTAGTGAAATGAGTCAAGAGCAATACTTCAAACTGTAGGTCTTTGTCATTTTAGAACTGCATGATATCATTTTCCCTATACAACACCCAAGACAGATTGCCTCAAAGTTTTCCTTAAAATGTTAACTAAACTAGTCAGTATAGCAGGTTTAGGGCTCAGAATTATACATTACTCAAGTACTTATGGAAACTTTTGATACCAACCTTTGCTTTCAGGTTTAGGAAAACTAGGAGAAGTCTCACTTGGCTTTATATTCTCCTTGTTTCCAGCTGCAGAATTTTGCCTCTGGTCCTGAAGCCTGGTATCTTTAGCTAGAAAAGAAATTGTCAAAGTTATTCTCTGATACACAACTAAAACTGAATAAAAAGAGATAAGAAGATGGGAACAAAGGAGAGATTTAACCATGTTTAGCTTATAAAGAAAAATCTCTATGTTACACATTTTCTGCTAGCTCTTTAGGGTCTGGAGAATTATCCTTCCTCTGCCCATCCTATGGTTATTAAGTCAAATGAAAGTGTCCCAGTCCATGCTCCTCCCAGTCATACACAGATCCTTAGCTAGACTGAAAAAAAACTTTAAAATGAAAGGAAATTATTTCCCATAGAAAAGCTCTTCATATGTAATTTCACAAAGATCTGAGAGTCAGATCTTTATGACTGTGCTCTTGAAATGTTTGTTCTTTCACTATGCTTATAACATTCTAAGAAATCAGCAATTTGAGTTTCTTCAAATGAGAAAACAGCAAAAAAAAAAAAAAACCATTTGAAAAAAAAATCCTAAATTAGGTCAAACATCCATTCTTCCATACCTGATAAAGGGCAGGGGAAATTAATTATACAGTCTAACTAAATAAAAAGCCTTTTGAACCTTACTTTTAAGTCATCATCACGGGGAAAAAGGGAACTCAGGACATAGAAAAATCAAGTGCATCAGTCAGAATTTTTCCCATCATTTAATACTGCAGCTTTGGTCTTGAAAAAGTGTTCTCATTTTCAGAGATGAGGCAAGAGAAGCATTTGCCAACTAGTGAGGGTTACTCACCTTCATTGGAAGGGGTAACTGCTCTGTTGGATGCAGGGCTGGCAGGTGTCGGAGAGGCAGCTGGAACAGGCATGGCAACAGATTCAGTGGGAATAGTACCAGGCTGAGGAGAAGGCAGAGCTGGTCCTGCAGGAGTGCTGCTCTGCCTTGGGGACCTAGGCCTGTGTGTTTTAGGGGATAATCTTGGAACTAGAAACAAACAGGAAAAAACAGTTATAGGATAAGTTTCCTCATTTGCTCAGCAGTTTGCTTAATTTTAAAATGACTAAGAGCATGCTTTAAAATATTCAATGGAACATTATCTAGTGACTGAAAACCTGTTTACCTTTCAGGTACATCTCCTAGTTCTTTACAATGCAGCATTTCAGATAAACGGTGCCATTTTCCTGCAGATTGTCCCCTAACATATATCACTGCTCTGCAGATCCACCAGAAACTGCAATGTGGTCTCTGGCCCCTCAGTGGTACAAGAGCTCACATTAACAAAGTTTCAGACAGAAAAGAAAAAGGTGGTTGTATCTCCATACAAACAAATACAAAACATTTTTTGAAAGGCTGGGGGGGAAAAAAAAACAACTAACAATCACCTTCCACTTTACAGCATGCCCTCCTTTGGAGGTTTGCCAGCTGAAAAAAAAAACAACCAAAAAAACCCAACAAAAACACCCCAGCATATCTCATTGAAATATTTGATGTCCACTTTTGTCCCTGCATTAAAGCAGCAAAGAAAGCTGTGTATTCTTTAAAAGGTAAGTTGTACCTCCTGCTTCCTACTCATCCCACAGTGGCTAGTTAGCTCCTTTACGTCATACATTCATACATAAACTTCAAGTGAGCAAGAAGAAAGAAAAGTAAATTGTTTAACAGTTCTACTTGCATGTCATTGATATATAAAGTTGGGGTAGGAAGGGAAGATGAATTGGAAAGAATGCCAGAACAGAAGCGTTAAAAACTTTTCTACAAGGCAACCAGTTCTGTGGGGTTGTCTATGCATTAGGCAGTAAGTCATATCTGCTTTCTAAAAAATGCCTTCCCATTGCCCTTCTCTAGAATTCTAACACCACTAAAAAGTAGCAGACTCTGAACCGCTGCTCACTTGCACCTGGAATCAAGAAAGCACTCAGCTGCTGACAACTGACCAGAACACAGTCCCAACTACAAAACCAGGGCTGCTGTCACAAGACTGAGCTTTACATTTAAAGTCAAACATGAAAAAAAAAAAAAAAAGCATTAGCTGATTCAGAAAACACATTGATTCTACTTGCTACTACACTACTTATGACAAACACAACACAACCACTTAGAATCTGCATTGTTTTTTAAAGAGAAAAAGAACATCCAACTTCACTTGAGTATCATTTCATCTTTTCTTGTAATGCCAGCCTTCCTCTACCCAAATGCCTCACTCCTTTCTGAACCATAACAATCCAGCTAGGCTGTCACTAACCAAATTCTAACTTTTCCTCATCTGCTTCAATAACATGCCAGAAGGTTATTTCTTTTGACAACTCCCACATTTTTCCTTTCTTTCATACAGCAACTGACCTATCCTCTCCGCAATTCAGACAATATTACACTTTAAGGATCAACTCACCAGTTGTTTCACTAAACCACCTGATAACATCCTTCTCCAGCTACATCTAAGCAAACTAAGTTAGCAGACCAGTGTATTCAGAGCCTGGGTTGTCTAGAAACGCAGTACTCTGCTTAGCATTAAGACTCTAAGATACCCCTGGCAAGCCATCTGCAATAAGCCAAGCTTTACCTACCCCCACTGACAACTGATGACCACGTCCCACCTGAAGGGCTGCCTCGTGCCACTGCAGTAGTAGATGCTTCCCCTGGTGCATTATGAGATACAAATTCTAAGCCACTTGAAATTGTACCCCTACCAGTAGAGACTCTGTGACCTCGAGGGTGCCGTTGTGCCTTAGGAGACATCCGTGGAGGCCCTGAGAAAAAGAAGACAACCCCACACAATAAGTACTCAACATCCATCACAAAGCATACTCAAGTATACTGTCTGTTTATAAAAGTGGATTTAACCTAGTAACTCACAATAATGCAATAATACAATCACACTGGCATAGACTAGAACCAGGATCTACGAGACCAAGAAAGATCAAGCCACTGCTCCGGCCAGACTAGCAGCATCCTCATCACCTTACTAAGAAAAAGTATATTAATTGATATTTAGAAGTTTTACCAGATTTAAAAATTTGAATCCAAGCACCCAATATTGCATACAGAAAGAAAAGACAAAAAAATTAGTGGCCCATCTCCTGCTGGATAATCACAGTTCTGGGCCATCAAACATTTTCAAGAGGTAGAAAAAAAAAAAAAAAAGGATTGCATTGTTTTTGTCAGGTGGTCAGTGATGCCAAACATTGATTTACAGAGCAGTTGCCAACACTGGCTGACCAACGCTGTTGGGGAATTCCAGCAGATCATTCTGCACAGAGGCTGAATTGCCTGCAGCAGGTCACAATTCATTAACAAGTCAGCAAAATTGCAACTAAACAAGTTATTGTTATCCCAAGGTTCCAGTCATGCATGTTTAACACCAGAAGCTGAAGTCATAAGAGAATACAGTAATTCTGAACAATTTATACAGCTGCCACAGAAAAGTTGTACTCAAGACTAAGCAGCCAGTCTCTACATTCTAACAACATTTTCTTTATAAGATCAGACTCAAATGTTGATACCCTAGAAGGAAAAATTGTGTATAAGCATAAGACAATCTGGCTGATTACAGTTCATTTTTCATTTAGATCAGTAACAGAAGTACAGGTAGCAATTTCCTGGTTTCATTTATATAAGGCTCTAAAATACCAAGTGCCTCTTCTGGTTATATAAAACTTTAAACATTAGCCTCTTTTTTAATCATGAATCTAAAGCACGCTTGAATCCAAATTATATACAAGCAAGTATTTTACAGAATACAATTCCCAGCAATTCTCATGTTGCAGTAAGCAGTTCACTGCATGCCTGACAAGTCAATCACAAGTGCTCAAAAAATAACTGAATTTGTACACAGATTCTTTATATCTTGCTACTTCACAGAAATCTGACACTGATAAATTTAATTGGCAGTAGAACACCGTGCAGACATGTTTCCTACTGTCCACTTTTTGGATACAGATCATGCTGAGCATTTATCAGGCAAGCTGTAGAACATGCTACTGATTCAGTGAGCACGCTTCTCTCACCTGGCTCCAGCAGAGCCTACGATAGCAGAGAGAGTGCACATTTCCAGGGAGCTTAGGTAGCCAGCTTACATTTTTACATTTTTCCAGGATTGCCAGACTGTGCTGTGCAGGACAGGTTTTGGAGTTGTTTTTTTTTGTTTTTTGTTTTTTTGTTTTCTTTTGAGTGTACTTAAAAATTTAGAAGTTTTTTTCCCTTACTGTACCCTCACAGTACAAATACATTTAGTTCAGATTCTACTGCATACAGTTACAAAGGATCATGTGTCAAAGTTTCCCCGCATACATTTGGCTACTAGGGACTTGTCCTGCCTCAATGCAAACTTAGACCTAATGTTTTCTACGAATTTATCTTTGAAGCAGCTCATCCTATCCCATTCCACACTGCACTTGTTTAAATATAGTGTTCTTTTTTTTTTTTTTTAATAAATAAAAGGTGATTGAATCATTTTAGTTAAAATTTGAAACTGCTTTTTGTGAGACAACTGTTTTCATATATTTTTTAGATTTTTATAATTTGATATTCCTAACAGTGCTCTCTAAACTTATCAGGTCCTGCATGCTGTTGTTGGTTAAGACACTGAGCAGCGTTTACAAAGCTGAGTTTATTTCATACCAACTTGGGAAATTTCACAGCTTTATTTTGTTTTTGTAAAGCTCTTCAAATAAAAAGGTTAATAGAAATAGTCTGATAAACTAAAGTTAAACACAAATTATAGGTTAAGTAATGAAGAGGAAAAACAATTTTGTAATTAAACTCACAAAGGAGTTAAACAAAGACAAACAAAAACATGAACAAATCGTGGTATTGTACCTTCTGAAGACATGCGTTTAGGCATAGTAGAGACAGGAGCTGGAGAACCATGAGCAGAGGGGTGAGACGGGGGCCTGGAGGGCCGCGAGGGGGGCCTGGAGGGCGGCCGTGTAGGGGTGGCTGCCCGAGGTGGAAGAGAGTTGGGACCTGACTGGTAGCGAGAAGGTGGGCGAGAGGAAGGAGATGGGCAAGGCGATGGCCAGGGAACACCTGACAGAACAAATGATATGAAGGAAAGTATAAAAACTAAAGAAAAATTATGGGGAAAAAGGTCAACAGAAAAAAAAAAAGTAAAATATGACAAAATGATTTCTCATGTTTAACCCTTTGGGGATAGGTTAATTTATTTCTGCAACCAGTAAAATAGTCTCTGTAAGGTTCTTGACTCTGCTTCAGGTCAAATTTAATATCTGAACATCACAAACTCCCCAAAGGGTTAATTAGGATCTACAAATACTACTAAGGAATAGACAGTAAAGTTTGATCTGTTAGCCTATCATATATAAGTTCTACAGTACGCATCGGTCCTCCATCAGCTACCAGAGGCTCTCGTACAGTGGTTCACGTGTAGGACTGAACGCACAAACTGCTACTTCCAAAGCAAATGATGAGCAGTATCAATTCTAGGAACTGTATCTTTACAAAAAACAGCGGTGTTCAGTGTCTGAATCCTGACATCTATGCCTCTATCAGTTACCTGCGGTATTAATGTGCTATTTTAATCTAGGATACAGGGTTCATTGTTTTCAAACCAAATACGTTTTATTTATAAGCCATTTTGAGTATGCTAAGTGTATGATGTTGATTCAGCGAAGTAATAGGATGGCACAGACCACAAATGGTACAAATTTCAACTTGTCTGGGCAAGACTCAGTTGTACATCCTTTTTACATTTGACTCTATTTAAGAAGAAGGTTTCACTTACCTTTACATATTTCTGACTTCCTCTCCACATAGAGGCACTTGAGCATTATGCTTTTTTTTTTTTTAAACTATAATTATTTTTAACTCACAGCAATCTCATTTAATAGTACTTTTAACATATAAAAACAATGCCTCAAAGGGAAGCTGCTGCTAATGTCCATCTCTCAAAAACTGGTATTCAGTTTATAAATCACCAATTTCTGCTATTCAGTGCCTAGCAATGTCCATTCATAAATGCTACCTATGCATACAGCAGAAAATACTCAAGTAACTATCTGGAGAGAAGACTTGACTGATTTTCCTGTAATAACTTTTCCTAGTTTCCCATCAATGGTTTTTCCACCCACATGATGGTGAAGCCAGCGAGTTGCTTTCTTCTCTATAATAGGAAGCAGAACTCATCCGAGCACCAGGAAGGAAGGCACATACCTCCTCCAGTACAGCCACCACCTCCCTTTCACTAGATGTCAGTATTGCTATTCCTCAAGAGAAAACTAAGCAGTAGTATAAAAAAATACAAAAAAGCAATTTTTCATCTTTAAAGCTGCAGACTGCACCATCATGTAAGACAAAGGTAGAAAACAAGTGACACTGCTGCTCTGCAAAGCTACATACAATGCATTCAAATGAATGTTTTGTTACCAATACCTTAAACCCAGATGAAAAATCACCACCTCTGTGTTAAATGATGCATGCTAAGCAGCTTGTTAAATACACATCCTAAAACCACATCATATGCAGTTTCAATATTAATTAGGTAATTTATTGCACTTTTCTAAGGCACATTAATTTCAACTTCAGATACTTGCCTCCGTTAACTACTCTTTGATCTGCTCCAGAGTTAGGACTGAAATCTGAAGTGTGGGATCCAGACCTTGAAATTGGTGGGCCTGATCCAGACTGGCCCATCCTTGGTGAATTTTGTCTTCCACTTCCCCAAGACAGAACATCCCTGTTTCTCCCGCCAGGTGGAACGTACTTACTTTCCCTGAAACACAGCAAATTTCTATCAGTGTTGAGGAAGATCTGGAAAATAACGAGTTTAAGAACTCTTTGCAGATACTTCCTATCTTTCTCAAAACAAGCTCAAGAAAAGTTCAAAATACAATCAGACGCTGATCAAATATTCCCCCTATGAATTATCCTTTGATAGTCACTACACTTTCCACTTCTTAAGAGCCCACAGACACTGAATGCATTAGCACTAATGCCTGAAATTCTCCATGACATGCTGAAACCACTGCCTTTTCCTGTAATTTGGTATGAATTCACCACAGTGAAATATCAGAACGGAGAAGTCTGTTTCATTACAGATAATACAGGGCCAAGTAGAGGTGTACAAGTCAGCAGGAGTGCCAACACTAGCAAGTGATTGTTTACACAAGATTCCTAACCTAATCAGCCCTGCTGAAAAAGCACAGTTTCAATGAGTAAATTGCTACTGTACCAAAATATGTACATCATTTAAATAAAAATACTATTCATAGTGTATGCAAGTACCTAGTGTTCACACCATGACCTTCTCGCTCATTAGCATTTCTCTGAACAGCAGTATATTTTTCTTCTTCTGTCCTTTCATCATTTTCCAAGGCAACCCGAGCTTTGTATTGGGCACTTGATTCAATTTCCTCTGCTAATTGAGTTGCTCTGGCTTCCCGTTTCAAAAACTCTTCTGAATTATCTCTTTCTAATGGCACCCTGAAAGACAATGGAAGGCAAAGAACATCTGAAATGAATTCAGAAGTACAAAGAACCTACAAAATTATATAGCATTAATTCTAGAGGGACAAATTATGAACTAAAAAAACAAAAAGAAAGAAAATAACACACAAGCTGCTTTTAAGCCAGGAGACTTGCTATGCTTTTTCTAAGGATAGCAATATTCCTAGACTGGTTTGACATTACGTACAAAATCAGTGCCATTTACCTGCCTAGAGAACAGAGGTCAGGATGCAGAGCTTTTTCTCATGACATGCAGATTCCCCAGTCCCTAAAGCTATGCAAAGTCTCCAACTTTTAACAGGGCTGAGCACATTAGCAACAAAAAGGCCTTAGCCCATTATTTAGATAGGAAGCTAATTCAAGAGACCAAATTTGAATTTCTTTAGCAATTTACACATTCACAATAGATGGAAGAGTCCCAACACTACTGAAGTTAAGAGTTAAAAACTTAATCCTCTGATAATTCTAGTCACAGAATTTCAGTTCTCCAGTTATGAGTAACTGCAGAAAAGATGAATGCAGCAGAAAAGATAAATGCAGTACTTTAGAGCATGGGACCAGAAACCCAAGACTCATTTGCCATGTCCTGGAATCTCAAAACCATTCATTCTATGCATTATGATATTAGGTAATACCACACTACAACAAGCATACATAGCCTTTTTGGGAAAGCCACCACATAAGAACTCAATACACGAGCAATGAATTACTAAAATAATGAACTATGACATGACACAACTGAGCTGACACTTCCTTCTGTCCATCTGCCACTGCCGTTTTTCACCTGTTCGAATTTCTGTGTCAGGTTTTATGAAATAACTTTGTTCTTTGATTTTGATTCAAATTTTGAAGTTCTGAAGGTTGTTTCATTGACTTTACAAGCTCTATGTAGAGCTGAGACTCTGACTGTGCAATGTTTGGTATTAGATAATAGGTACTGCACTCGTTTAGGATAATACAAACAAAGAACAAAGGAAGTAGTTGGAGAAACAGCCCAAGTAAGAAATAATATGTGCAAGATTACTCAAGTGTTGGTGGCAAGGCTATGAAAGCAAGTGGCTTTGCCAAATTGTAACACATAGCTCTGCTACTGCAGCAAAGTCTCCCTCCTCACACACACTTTTGGCCAGCTGCTGCCATTATCAATGGTGGCTAAGAGGATGAAAGAGAAAGCATGGCCTCACAAATAAGATACATGTGAGCGCAGCAGCCATCAACACAGCCAAGGAGCATGCTTGCTAGAACACAAGCTTGTGCCTTTATGCAGACTGTCAAACTATACCTGCTAATGCTAAGCTCTGGGAAGATAAAATGAACAGTATACCCTGTACAATCTTTGCACAGCTAAGCATCTAGCTGGGCCATGCTCATCGTATGCTTGGAAAATCAGAATAAGTTTCCCAACTAAAGCAACAAAACGCAAAGCAAGTTGCTTGGCTAGGAAATAATGCAATTTGTCTCCAGCAATTAAAAGCCACCTTCATGTTCTTAATTTGTGTCCATTAATACCCATAAGGCGGAAAGATCGCAGACTAAAGTTCAGAAGTACAAAGAGTACTTCAGTGTACTTCATTGCTTTAGAAACAGCTTCCCTAGGATGCTGACATAAGCCAATTAAGCTTTTGTTGAAACACATCTATAATGTGACAATAAAATGCTGAACAAGAGATGTGCAGACAAAAAAAATTAGAAAATAAAAATAACCACCACAATTCCTGGACGTTCACAACCAAGTTTTATACTTTGTGGGTAAAAAGAGTGGGAAAATAAAGACATTTCATGATGGCTGTTCAACATCTGCAACTGGTTTGTGTTGTAGTTGCAGCAAACGCTATAGCTGCAGACTACTGGGAATGGGTCCAGGCTGCCAAAATAAGCACAGCAGACTTCATACTTCTTCTATATTCAAGTTATTATACTGTAACTAAAACTTTAGGTCTGCACAAGTCTGCTAAACAAGTTATCCACAGCACAAACCCCCCTCAAAATATCAGCAGCATTTCAAGACTCCAATACCTACGTTATGAATAATCACAATAAAATTAGGATTTAATCAGACTGTTCTGCTGGGTTAAACACAAACTGTGCATATGGCAGCTACATAAAGACGCATTATAGTTTCACAATTTGGTATTTTTCACTCTACTTGTAAAAGTTTTTCTAAGAATTAAGCGTTATTGCATGTCTAAATTCAGAAAATGTTGCAACAGGAATGAACTGTGCCCATTTAAGGGAATATATACAGATTGCTACATAAACTATTCACAGAAATCTGGCAAGGTTTCTTAAGCACTATTCATTCATTATTTTTTTTTCAGTTATTTGATTCCAAACCTTAGAAAGTATATAAAATTATCTTGAGAATACGAGTTTTGTCACATCAGGGAAAACATGAAATACAAATCTAATAAGAAAATATTTTAGAACTTACGTATAAGAAGATAAACTGCTGTCATATGTTGATATTACACCATAATTTTCTTCATTGTAACGAAACATGTCATTGGGATCCCATCCATTGGACTAGAAAAAAATAATGCTTGTTTTTCAAAATGCCATTGGAAACACATTCCCTTAAAAACAAGGGCTGGTGGCAGGAGTTAAACCTTTTGCTCTTTTGTCTTGGCTTATGAATTCACTGTTCATATCAGAAAGTTAGCAGAGCCACAATTTATTTCAGGGGTCTTTGTTCATCAGCTGAAAAGCCAGATAGGTTTCTCTTTTGCTTTGTGGTTGGTTGGTTTCTGTTTTCTAAGCACCATGCCCTCTCTGTACTAGTTAATGGCTAACACATAGCATGTAGTTCTGAATGTTAGGAGCATCCCTTGCTATGACAAGCACTGATACTTCCCAAAAGCACTATTAATGCAATTATCTGAGACACGCCACAGGCAGAAGACCCCTGGTGATCAGGGCAACTTCCCCACTTTATGAAGTATGCTATTACAGCACTCAAGGCTTTAACCTTCACAAATGATTAATGTTTTGAGTGTTTCATAAAAGCACTGACAGCACTAGGTATTCCAACAAATCTCAGCTGTACAGTACATACACCAAAATTGACAGGGTAACTGTTCCAGCAAGACAAAGTTAATATTCTCCACAATAACTTGACTCCATTCTTGCCTTTAACTCAATGCAGCAGAATACCTTGCTAAGAAGAACGCATGGTTGAGTAAAAGCTGACTCTATGATATACAAAGAAGCTCCATTTAAGAACATACTCTTCATCTAACGATGCATAATCTGCTGAGATTGTACCTGTGCTTATAAAGCCATGGCTCAGACTCCTATCAATTTCCTACATCTTAGCTCCGAGACAGTTAGCTAAGCACAATTTCACCATCATTTACAAATGCAGTGATCGTCAGACAGGAATGCTCTGATTAAACATAAGTGACTTCAGTGTGTTGCTGAATGTGGAGTTCTTAATAAAAACTCCTTTTTCAGCCAGTCCTTGAATCAAACATGTTCCTTACCCCAGCAGCTGCCATTTGTCAATATTTGCCAAGAGTGGCATTTGAAATCCAGCTATTCTTATTCAAATTTTAAGAAAGTGCTGGGGCAGCCGCTAGCAAAGACTGAACATATAGGCCAGCATCTTCAGCCCCATCACTAGAATAAAATACAGGAATGTCTGTTGCAAGGCACATCCAGAGAAGCAGCCTGCTTTCTAGAGACCGCCAGAACCAATAAAAAAGCATTACTTACAACATCTGTCTCCAGTGCCTCAAGCTCCTCAGTAGCGCTGGTCTCTCCTCCATCCCACGGCTCAAGATCCTTTTCTTTGTGCTCACCATTTACTTTAGCACTGATGGCTGAGTCAGTAAAAGCATCTAAAAGGGAGCAGGAAGGGATGGAGGTGAAATCAGTTTGATTAGGCACAGGAAAACAATGAACTCACCAGTTTATTTGAGGAACAACCAAACACATCTGAATTGCAGACACATTAACATCATTCACCTCTTGTAGCTGCTATGCTCCCTGGGACTACATCAGAGTCTGCTGACGTTTAGAAAAACCAGGAAGTGCAGACTAACTACAAATAAATCTATTCACAGGATGGGATTTTTGCAACTTTAAGTATGAGACAAGGTATCAAAGAATAGCAATATTTATTTGCAATTATTTCCAAAAGTTTTACACAAACTGCACATATGGTTTCTGCTAAGAATGGGACTACCTGGGAGTGCCATTCCTACAGCAAATCCAAGATTCGTATACTATGCTTGTTGTCCAGGGAGCCTACACATACTAACAAATTATGCAAATAGCAAAAAAAAAAAAAAAAAAGCATGAATGCACCCAATCCCATCCCTTAAATGAGCAGAATACAAGCTCCCCCTCAATTTCCTGAATTCCTTCTGTCTCCACAACTCACCACACCAGCATGCATGCACACAGCTGCACTCCCTTTGCAGTGTAACTCAGTTACCCATTAGCTTGGGGTACTCATTCAATGGGACAGCAGCAGAGAAATTCTGTTTCCTGCAAGCCTTTTTCAGGTAGCAGCTTACCCACATCACACAGCAAGATTCAGAGACACTCTTTTTCTCAGCAACATATGAAAATAAACATGCCATTGATTAGCCAAGTGTGCTAAGGGTATGCAATTTTTTTAATACAAATTGTAAAAAAATTATATAAAAAATAAAGATCACGAGCTTTTATTTTTACTTGTTCATGTTTCATCCAAGTCAGACTAAGAAAATGGCTGAAGAAATAATACTACAACATTGAAGTACTGTAAAAGGGGAAAAAAAGTACAAAGCCATTCATCAAAGAAGCCAAGCTTTTCTATTCTGTAAGCAACCAAGTCTTAGAGCTGTCTGCAAATTCTTAGATTACTTAAACAGAAGGAATATTTAAAAATAAAATAAGCTTTTCTGAGTGCCTTCAGCCTAGAATTTCTCATTATAATTCTAAAGAAAACTAAGAAGCAAACACTTCAGGTCTTTAAAAAAAGATGAGGTCAAACCACCAGGCAGTGCTAGATAGGAAGAGTATGGCTTAAATTAACTTTTGGCAAGATCTGAAATCCTACGAGGAGAAATGAACATGAAAGCCATCATGAAAAGAATTAACAACATCTGAAGTGATTTGTTGGCCACCACTGTTGCAGAGTTTAAACAATGACCGAAGACTTTTCTTAAGAGACTGTCAACACAGCCTATTATCCCTATTTTGCCCATTTCACAATCAAGTTCTGCCCATAGATTGCCATGATCTATCCCCACGTATTGCCATTCTATCAGAACTGTGCTTAGCTCTGTATGGTACAGGACAGGCTGTCTCATGAAATGCTCAACTCATACAAAGAGAGCAAAGAAACAACAGGGAAGCGATTCAGCATGTAAGCGTTGTTAATAAGCATATGTGAAATAAAATGTTATAGAAGATGTACAGAAAGAAAGATGTTTATTAGCTGAGCATTCATTTCAAATACAAAAGAATCAGTAAAATGACGAAAAGAAAGCCAAATGAAAGCAGGCCACCCTAATGAGGGAAACCACAGTTAGGGCTCGTGTGAAGCTGCAAAAACCTGCATCAACCACCTGGTGAGACCTTGGGGCACAGTTCACCAACAGAGCTGCGATAATTCCTCCACAGCTGAAGGTTAACACTTCCAAGTGAGATCATTTCAGCTTCTCACTACATCTGATGCCTCCAGCAGGCACATTCTGGGGTTATTGGTACACTGTTCTGAAAACAGTCATAGTATTGTTGTGCTAAATAGTAGTGCTGATGCAACTTTTCAGTGGTTGCAATTCCAGCTGCTTAGAATAGGTAACAATCAGGGGTGGGAACAGAAGTCATTGACTGACTGCAAGGTATTCCAAATGATTCTGTGAAGTTACACATGCATGTTTTACAGTGCTATAAATGTGCCAGCAAAGAGATTAAGCTTCCATTATATATTATGGTAACAGAAGCGTTATGAAAGGCAAGATGCAGAGACAGAGTGACTGCCAAAAAAGTTACCTGTTTCTGAAGGAACTACAAACAAATATGGAGAGAGAAAAAAATGGAAGACATCAGATATAAACACAGGTGGATTTTTTCCACATTATAAGGCTGAGTTCAGGCACAACTACACTCTTTCAGGCCCCTTCACAGACACATTCAAGCTGATTACACATCTCTCACCTTGTAAAGATGATTTCCATGTTAAAACTTCAGCAATATTCCCCCTATTCACAATTCCCCCTATTCACAAGTGTATTTCTCTACTTTGCCTTGCTAAAATCCCTCCGGACAGCCTTCAGATTTGTAAGGTATATCAATCTGACAGAAAACATCTCAGTTTCCCTTCATGCAAACAGCTTTTAAGATACATTACAAGAACAGATGTTTTAATGTAAACGGGAACTACATAATAACAAAGTGCTATCTAAATCCACAGTGAAGGAGTAATGAGAGCACACTCAACTGGAGTGCAAAAGTAAAGCATTTGTATCTGGAAGCTGTACATTCACCTTATCAACACCCCGTAGCCAACACAGCCATAATCTAGACCAGCCAGTGCTGCTTCTGTGCCTAATGCCATTCATTCACTGCCTCATACCTGATCCTCCCAGAGTTGGAAGCTGCCTCTGTCACTTATGTGACATTTGCTTCCACGCTGCTTCACTGGGGGGGAGAGGGGAACTTCCTCTAACAAAATGAGAAGACACGGACGTGAGGACTGAGGGCAGTACCTGATGGAGGCAATGTCTGTATTCTCAGAGGGTGTTTAATTAATTTCTATTAAGTAATTTCAGGAAAAAAAAACAACCTCCACACAAAATGTTCTGGCATTCCAGATACTGCAAATAAAATAGTAGCTTAATAAGACTCATACTTAACCCACTAATTTTCCTATTTAAAAAGCCACATAAGAACCATCAGCAGAGCGCTGTCAAAAATTGAGATACAGATGAACTGGTGGGACAAGGCAACACAAAAACTGCACCACCTAATGAGTGTTACAGGCCTGAGGAAGATTTGTACAAGCAATGCTAAGTTTCCCAGTAGAATCCAGTATATCACAGGGCACAGGATGCCCCTCTGCTCTTCACCTTTCTTTCATTTTAGGATACAAGTGAGATTGCAACATGAGCCTAACCTTTACAGCTCAAAAAAAGCCAGTTAGAAAGAATTCAAGCTACAAAGGCAGACTTCTAGTCACACAGCAGTCTCACGAGTAGTCTGAATGTAGCAGAAGGGTACTTCAAGGCACAGCTCACTATTATCCTGGAACAAACAGTAAGAAAGACACAGAGGGACACTAAGATTAAAAAGAAGACAAGACAAACAAGGCATGAACAAAACTGATGAGCAGCACAACTGGGAACACACAAATTCTTCAAATCATTGTTTCCAAAACAAAGATACTGCTCTTAAGATTATTAAGGAAGTAGAAGCTAAAGCAAACTGCTGCTCTGGGTGCCAACTGGCAGAGGGTTAGCACGCAAGATATCGACTGCATGCTCACACTCCCCTTAGTTGGGGCCTCATATCTCTGAGCTGTTGAAGGAGCACCTCACGTGACACCTTGACACGGCCAAATTTTTATTCACTTCATTTTGTATATGGGTAAAACTCAAATAAATGATCAAATGAGAGCTGGCCATAAAAAAGTGTGAGCTGTATGTAACCCTCCACTAGCTTCCACTGCCTCTGAACCCGCTCTGCATGTAGTCTCCTGAGCAAAGAAGTTTCCTATGTTAAGGCCTCACTTCTTGTCTCAGCCTGCTAACTGGGAAAAATAATCCTAAGGACAACTTTACACAACAGAAATTCACATGAAGCAGAAGCAAATCAAGTATATGCATTCTAAGAAAAGCCTCAGCTTGGGCAAATTCTTCAAGTGTGTGCTATTAGATGACTTAGAGAAAGGATTGCCAGAATGGAGCAATTAAGAGTGCAGGTTTGATTAAATTTGGCATTATAAAAGCTTGTTTTCTCAAACATGTTTTGTGCTCATGGGGAAGAGCACAAATATGCATTTAAGCACAGTTCAAAAGCCATTAAGCCAATGTGCATTAGGTGCCAAAGGTGTTTGTATTGCACACTGCAAACTTTGATCAAGTTCGCATGGCTCAAAGAAAATTGATGTTTCAGCTTAAATGTTACAAAACAACTAAGAGTTTACTGTTGAAACTACTTACTACTGATTTAAAACATTAAAACCAGTTACCACTAGTTCTCCAGGGCGAACATTTCCTTCCTTTGTTCACAATATGCCTCCTGCTATTCCCCTTCCAACACTTTCTCTGGAAGAATGCCCCTTTCAGTGCTAATTCAAGGAAAAACTTAAATAGCCAGTTCTCTCTTGCCTTTTTTTTATTGGATTTGTATTACTTTTCTCAGAGTGTAGTGACTGTGCCAAAAAAACAATAAAAACATTGTAGAAGCCTATTACTTTAACAGTAGTTATGATCTTGAATTTTCTTGTCTTTAAAGAGGAGCCAAGAAGACAACTCAAGCCTTACTCAAATTTGAATCATATGCAAACCAGCAGAGCTGCCTGATCAGTGTTTAGGACTACAGGAAACGCTGTTAGAAGCTTATTCTGTAGAAATGTACCCTTCTATTTCATTTGTATGGGCCTAATAATCTAACTAGCAAATCTGCTTGTACTGCAGAAAGCCCTGACTCCACTGAGTGACCCTCAGATGATACTTTTGATTCCTTTTGAAGCCTGACAAGAATCTACTCGAGCACAAAGGTCTAGATAGAACTGACAAAGTTGCAAATAAGGGCTCAGGTAGCAAGGATAGATTTATTTCTTGAAGCTTATGCTGTCAGAAAGTTCTTATCTACACAGTCCTACTTCCCTCCCCCCCTCCCTCCCAACACTTCCAATTTCCACAGTCTAGGTAGGCACCACGCTTTCTCCACTGATCCAACTTAAGGTGCAATGTCATGCTTGGCATAGACAAATTTAAGGCTGTTGCTTCCAAACAGTGGTTTCACCCACCTCCAGCTTATACTGCCATTACCTTCCCTGTACTCACACCACTGATGCTGCTGCAGGATTAATTATCAGCTCGTTGCTCCAAAGCTGCACAAGTAAGATAGCAATGAAAGGTGCTTGGCAGACTACTTTGGATGGTTTTTTCAGAGATAACTGTATTTTCTACTCCTTCTGAAAGAAGAATCCATCCCATTCTCTTTCTTTCTACCTACTGCTCTTTACTACTCCTCTTCCAGTCTGCTTTTCTATTTCTGACTTTGACACAAAGGCAGAGACAATGAAGCAAACACCTCTGCTGGTCAAGTCTGAGGGTAACTCAGAAGATCAGTACTCAACATCTAAGGAGCACCATTTGGCCAAAGCTCCCCCAGCTCAACACAGAAGGAAATGCCAGAATAAAAATTCACATGACCCCAGACACAGCATAGTATCTTCTGCAAAAAGTAAGTTTACTTCAAGGGCTCCTCAGAGGTCTTGCATTTGTCTAAGCACAGGGGGGAGAAACTAAACACATACACCCCACCCCAATAAACTCTACTCTAGCAGATAATAAGCCTCTCCTGTAGCAACCAAGTGCCTGTGGAGTGCCCTTTTGTTTGATTACATTTTTAAGTGAGAGCTAGCTTTCTTTCCAATGAAGCATCTCCAAACAATATACTATCTTGTCTGAAATAGCCAAAAGACACTGATGGTTAGGCAATTTTAAAAGACTTCTTCGTGGGTTCTGTAGAAGCAAATAGCCTCTGTTTTATATGAAGCACAACACCATCAAATGGAGCTGGGCACCAGATGGTAACAACTCCCAGTGCAAACGTAGCAGGGACCACAATCCCCTTACCTAGAAGTTCAAATTCAGTTCTTACTGTGGATCACACAGACTTATCTGACCCTATCACCAAGACTTGGGTTTCTTTATAAGAACAAAACGCCCACAGTTCCTCTTTGCATGTGTGTTCATACACACTCATTCTTTTGAATCTTTGCTAACTCAACTTCCCAAGAAGCAGAAAGCCTTTCATTGCTCTCATGTGCAGGTGTGATCAGAGACTGGCTTGTGCTTTCAAGTGTGGTTTCACGATAATAAGTTGTTGAGACAAAATGGAAAGCAGATTAATTTACCCACTGCGAGTTATCAAGTTCTGCAGCCTTCCAGTTTATCTCACTCTGTCTGTACAGTTTTATTTCAGCTCTCCTCTCCAGCTACTTAAAAGATTTAGATGCAAAGACATTCCACCTCATAATGCAAACTGAGTGACTGTTCAACCTAAAGCAGTCATTTTCTTCTAGAAAACTTCCATTCAGTATTATTCCTAGAAGTAGTAGATTTTTTCATTCCATCTGTTCACTAGAAATCTAGAAAGATAGGGTAATGGAGAATCCAGTTTGCATTTACATTAAAGTGATGTTCATAGCAGATCTATTACAAAACAGCTTTTGTGTAATTCAAAGTCAAAATCCCATCCAGAACCTGGAGCATATCTGCATTTCAATGCTACTGTTGCTCTGATATTATGCATCCTTCTTCCAGAAAAAGCAAATTCCTTGAAAAAAGCATCTTATCCTTCAGCCTTAAATCAGGCAAGAACACACACATGTAGAAACACAAGGTGAAAAGAGTGAAAATCTCTCTAAATTCCTATGAATCCATACATCTTTACGTCACTGCTACCTGGGAATAAAGCATGTGTGTAACAATGAACACTTGCTGACCAACCTGAAAATCTACAGACATGCAGCTTCATTCCTTGGCATTGAAAGATATAAAAAGCATTAAAAAAAAAAAAAACCAACACTTTTAAAATCTTGACTTATGATCTTAAGATACAAATAACTTTAAGAATCTTAAAAAATGTATACCTCTTCTCGCGTAATTGGTATCCATATCCTTAAAATGCACCATAACAAAATCTGAAGACTTGAATAAAATACTTTCTAGTATGTCTTCACGTTTTGGCCCCAAACTGGATTCTGCGGTTTTCCGATGAGCAGCATCAAGCACTAAATCACACTAGTAGAGATAAAAAGAATATCCTAATTGAATACACCATTGACTACTGGTAACTGACATACTTGGAAAAAGCACACGTTTTACAGAAGTTTGCAAAAATCAATCTGCGTCTGTAAACCTAAACATGGATGGGTCAGAACAACTGATAATAATTATTCCAATTTAATGAAGCATCAGTTATACACCTTTCAAAAGAAGGAAGAGTCAAAAAGGAAAAAAAAAATTACCTTAGGACTGTAGGTTTTAAAAACTCCTTCATATATACCACCATTTTTCACCTGTACTTCACATTTGGATCCCTAGAATGCAAGAAAAATCCAAGTGTAGCACTCTGTCAGCCTGATAAATGATATGAGTGATTTTCTCAAAAATATATATTTACAGAAACACAATGTGTAAAAACTAAGCTGAAAACTAAGCTTTCTAGCTTAGTTTTCAGTCAAATCTACTTTTTCAACATTTGCCCATTTACAAATATGTCTCTGCGTGCCACAGATACAAACACTTGGGTATGTCCCAGACTTTATTAAAGATACTCACAAAAGTATTTTCAGTACACACGAGACTTTTGATTAGCTACGCATGCATGCAAACAAGTCTTTGTGCAAAAACAAATCCATGGGCATAAGTAAGGTCAATTCTTATCCCAGATTCTAGCTGCTGGGGGACAGTCTGTTACCAAATTTTGTCATGTTCCCTTAACAATCTGAGGGGAGAAGGGCTTCTGCTCCCTGTATATAAATTCATTACTTATTCATAATGTCTCTGGAGACAGAAAATTCAAAATATGACCAATGAGCGTAAGAAATCTGCCATCCCAAATATAATTTGCAGTTTTCCCAGCCAAAAATACACAATAGCTATTACTATGACTGTTTAAATTTCAGTCTTGGAACAGGATGCCCACTGTTGAACTTTAACATTCACTCTATTATGTTACAATTAGTGTAATATTTAACAATTCACTGTCACTATAGAAACTGTTTACACGCCTTGCAAATATGAGGACTTACAACAACTGATGTAAGTATGTGAACCATTCTCATGTTTGCATAGATGCCATCGAAAGAAATCTGAAAAAAAAATAAAAAGAAGTTGTCATTTTTATGGGTAACACTCATAATTCAGAAAGGCAATGCCACAAAAACAAAGTCAGCTCTCAGCAGTACATACTAGCTGCTAGAAAGACTCCGGTCAAAAAACCTCACTTGGTCAGTATACATTGAATTTAAGTCACAGCAGATGTCCAGAGGACCCTTACCCTTTCTCTGATCAATTAAATATCAGAGCACCCTTAAAAACATGAGAAGCCTTATAGTGTGCCTCAACCCAATGTCAATCCCATTAATGGGTGATAAAACTCACATACCAAGTCTCACAACTGAGAAGCCCCGCTAGCAGCCCTCCCTGAGAACAGGGACAAGGTACCTCAACTGTTGCAGAAGGAGAAATGTACTTCAAAGATGTAGTTCAGGGAAAACAGACCTGATGACACGCATTAACAGGAGATGAAGTCATCGAGTTGTGAACTGCTGAAGAGCTACAAAGCCTATTATAAAACTAGTCAAATGCCACTCACTGCAGTTCCAGAACCCAGAAACCAACATGTTTAAGGATGTTCCTGTGCTCAACACTCAGTTAGGAACACAGAAAGCCTAACACTTCCTACTTTACATCACCTTTTTCACTGCTCTCCCTCAAAGCCTCTTTATTTTTACTGAAGAGATCCATTATCTTCAATATACACTTATAGAGGTAAACTGTAGTCCTTTCAGCCCTTCCTACTCCTGCCCCATTCCCTAGAATTAGTCATCCTTGAGAAACAGGCCACTAACAAATTAGCAAATATTTGATTAGTGCAGTTCAAAGATCCATTTTTTGAATCAAGACCCAGATCTTTACCTTTCATAAAATATTCTACAAACCAAGACGCATCTATAGTGCAACAGTGTATTAGCCTTGACAATAACTAAAGCTACACACACAAGTAACAATGGCTTAGCTACAATAACATTACATTAGCTATTTTGTAGTAAAGCTGAACACTATTGCTACTTCTATTTAACAAAGTGTTGTATCCCTGTCTTCAGTCCTCTGTTTAAAGAAGTCAGTATAGAGAGTTTCCAGAGAGGCAACGTTTTTGAATCTGTTCCCAAGTTAAAACTTATCCATGTATTTGCAACTATAATCACAAGAAAGATTTCTATTGGCATGTTTCAAATGTTTAAGAGCTCCTCCTCTCCCCGTTCTCCCAGGAGACTTAGATCATAGAAACACAGGCTTAGAAGAATGCAAGATTTTCTACATTTAAAAAAAGCATATCTCTGTCTAAAATACTCATTGAGGTATCAAAAGGAAAAAATTTTAGAGTATTCCACCATGTGCCATTTTCACATTGCTAAGAAAGGTCACCAGGGAAGCTGTTTCCTTGTATCTAAGGAGGAAACAAGGAAAAAATACTCACTGTGGGCTGAGGCGGTCCTTTGCCACTGCTGCGACCTCTGAAAGAAAACACAGACAAAAGGTACAATTAAGAAATGTTGAAAAGGATCAATTTCTTAACAAATTCAAAAACCAAACTTAATTTTGTGCTGAGAATGAGAGCAAAGAAAACTAGCTCTTCCCCAGAGCCAAACTTAGCAGTTGCAGAGCCTATAGCATCTATCCTTCAAATTACTGACCTACAAGCAAGACCAGTAAATGGGTAAAAAGATTACCTACAATAAGTGGCAAAACAAAGAAAATACCAATGCTGTGTCATTACAAAAATCCACAAATATTCTCTCTCAAGCAGAATCCTGTAGCTAAAGGAAATTCCAAAACCTATTGGCAGGCAGAACCTAAACTGCTTCACTGCACTTCCAGGCTCAGCCCCTCACAGCCACTTCTCTAGGCCTCATCTCTCCACACTGCCACCATCTTTCTGGTTGAGGGCCACCCAACCAACTACCCACAAGGCCCAGTTCTCAGTCCCTACTTAAAGCTTATGAGCTTATTTGAGAGCACCGGCCACACACAGCCCCTCAAAACCAGTAACCACATGCAAACCAGTGAACATGTAACAACCTCAACGCTTCAAAAGGCCTTTAAATTAACTCATAGACTCATAATGCTCTGCAAACTGAGATGTAACAGTCTGTGCCCTTCAACTCAGCCCTAGAAGTGCCAACAGCATCCCTGGAGCTGCAATAAAACTTCAGCCTGGCTGGTGTGCTTCATGTCCTTGTGTCCAAGCTCCCTCTGTACAAGCAGCAGCCCTAGTTCCAACAACTTTTTTTGTAGTGATTGAGGTTTGTATCACAATAGGAAGCCCTACTTTCAAATCCTTCTTGGGATGACTGAGATTTGTATCATAATGACGACTTAAGAGTGCATCCAATAAGAGCAAGGCAAAATGAACTCTTCAATTTTATTTAAGAAAAAAATCAATTTTTTGAAACTGACTCACCTTACAGATGCACATCCATTTGATTAGAGACCCAAAGAACCACGCTCATGTTTCAAAACAGTCAAACAATGCTGAAACCTAAACAGCAAATGTGTTCAATTGCTTCTGAAAACACCGTGCTGCGGTTGAAGGCAGCTGTGCTCCAAACCATGTCCTTGTGAGCAGGACTCATGAGCTGGTCAAGGAATTAAAGGGTCTTCTCATGAGCACAAATCTGGCAGAAATCAGCAAGTCCATCAAAGGAGCAGGAAAGTCCTTAGCAAGGAAAAAACGAAGATCCACTGACCGATCACCTGAGCAGTTTGAGAAAGCAAGCTTCTGAGCCCAATGTGCTGTACAGCATTGCTCCCACTGATGACATTTGCTGACTGGTAATAGAGGTGGATTTCAGATTGCAAGTATCCTGAAAATGCCAGCTTGACGAGTTCTAATCTCATACACACAAAAAAATTCTAAACCAAATAGCCCTTATTTAATTACCTATAAGCCTTGGCTTTCCAGAAGACAGAGTCACAACTTTTGGCTCACTGGTGACCAGCAAGTCTTACCATTGAGTATGCCTGCCATTTGTCAAATGGCTGCCTGCAGCACAGTGCTGGAGCCTTCAACAGTCTTAGCAACATTTGCAGTTGAACCACACTCTTCTTTTGGGATGCCGTCCCACCAGATGCAAAATGCCCCAATAAAAGGGTCAGATTCAGCTCTGATTCCTCCTCTTATCATAATCCAATGTTGCAACAAAACTGCTTTGCAGAGAACATGGAGGAAACCCAAACAATCCCATCAGTTCCCTCTGTTGGTCTCAAGAATTCAGAAGACATCCCTTTCTGCACTGGTTACAGAAAGGGCCAGAGAGCGCGGTGCCTTTGCTGCACTCCCACAGCTAGCAACACGCATCCTTAGAATTTAACTAACTGGGTTCCTAGACTGGTCAGCAAGTTCAGAGCATTCTGTTTAAGCATTCAACCTGAAGCATCCTGGATTTTCCACCTCCTACATTTCCCCAATTACCATTCCCATCACACACCTCCAAGAAGCCATCTGACCGTGCGCATCCACACTGGCAAAAGGAAAGGCTGCAGCTTCTGCATCAGAGCAAGAGAAAGGACAAATATGGAGCTTCTAGCCCTGCTCCAACCAGACATACCTCTTTACAGACCTAACCTCTTTTCCTAGCTACGACTGTTCAATACAGTCTCAAGTAAAACATTCATCACCATTTTAAACAAATCAGCCAACATTCAATCAAAACCATATGCAAATTCTGCTAAAACCAACACCATCAATTTGAGG